GAGACTTTATCTCCACAAAAAAAAAAAAAAAAAAGAAAGAAAACGATTGTACCAATATTTTGCAGCTGAGAAAGCAAAAGAGGCTGAGAGAGCAGAAAAAATGAACTGAAAACTTGATCCAATGGATACAGAATGACCACGGGGACCTACACCTTGAAAGGTCTTTATCTGGTAAACAGTGAAGTGTGGAGACCAGAGGCTATTAAAATTAGGCTGTATGGAAAGATAGGGGAGCCTTAGGTACCTAGCACTCCCTGTCCCCTCCTCAGTCACAGCATCCTCCCTCTTTGTCACTCTGAAGATCCTAGCGGCAGAAACTCCCTGGCAGGAATTAGGTGTCCACGTGGCTGAGGTGTGGCCTGCAGCGATGAGTGGGTCTGTTTCCACACAGCTATAAAGAAACATCCAAGGTCGGGCGCGGTGGCTCATGCCTGTAATCCCAGCACTTTGGGAGGCCGAGGTGGGCGGATCACCTGAGGTCAGGAGTTCAAGACCAGCCTGACCAACGTAGTGAAACCCCCCTCTCGACTAAAAATACAACATTAGCTGGGCATGGTGGTGCACACCTGTAATCCCAGCTACTCGGGAGGCTGAGGCAGGAGAACCGCTTGAACCCAGGAGACGGAGATTGCAATGAGCCGAGATCCCGCCACTACACTCCAACCTGGGCAACAAGAGCAAATCACCATCTCAAAAAAAACAAAAAAACAAACCCAAGGCTGGGCAATTTATAAAGTAAAGAGGTTTAATTGACTCACAGTTCCGCACGGCTGGTGAGGCTTCAGAAAACTTACAACCACGGATGAAGGGGAAGCTGAAACCTCCTCCACCAGGCAGTCAGCAGGGCGTGAGCGTGAGAATGAGGAACTGCCATGCTTTAAAACCATCAATCTCGTGAGAACTCACTCACTGTCACGAGAACAGCATGGGGGAAACTGCCCCCATGATGCAAGGACCTCCACCTGGTCCATCCCTCGACACGTGGGGATTATAATTCGAGATGAGATCTGGGTAGGGAAACAAAGCCTAACCATATCGGTGGGAGGGATGGCAGTTATTTCCAGGGTGGGCTGTATCCTCTTCCTCCAGCCCACATATCCTGCTTCCCAAGCTGGTCACCTGGATGCCCTGGGTGACCTGAGAAGCCAGGTGCTAAAGATGTCAGGACCTCAGTCGGCCTGGGTTCCCCCTTCCCCATTTCACTAGAGAGAGGAAGAGCCTTTCATGAGCAAGAGCTAGCCAGCAGCTAGAATTTCCCTATGTAACACACCTTGTAATGACCCTGCCGCAAAGGAGCAAAGGAGTCTCCTTATAAGCCCCACCCCTCATTTTCTCCAGAATTAAATAACAAGTCAGATCCCCGCAAATCTAGGAGGGTACTGAATCATCAAAAAACTCCAGGGAGAAGATACTGAATCACCAAAAGAAACAAAAGATTTTGCTAATTGATATTGGCTTACAGTATATGGTTGGCTAAAAATTTTTTTTAATTGATATTGGCAAAAATCTGGGAAGCTGATCTGAGAATGAATTCTGAGGGTGCAGGACGGGCGAGGGAGGAAGGGGATGTTAGAAAAGGATGAATGTACTGATATTGAGGATTCCACAGGGACAACTTGAGAAGCTGGGATTACAGGCGTGAGCCACCGCATTAATGTAGTACTTTCTTTTTTTTTTTTTTTTTTTTTTGAGCCAGAGTCTCGCTGTGTCTCCCAGGCTGGAGTGCACTGGCACAATCTTGGCTCACTGCAAGCTCTGCCTCCCGGATTCACGCCATTCTCCTGCCTCAGCCTCCCCAGCAGCTGGGACTACAGGCGCCCACCACCACGCCCGGCTAATTTTTTTGTATTTTTTTAGTAGAGACGGGGTTTCACCGTGTTAGCCGGGATGGTCTCGATCTCCTGACCTCGTGATCCACCTGCCTCAGCCTCCCAAAGTGTTGGGATTACAGGCGTGAGCCACTGCTCCCAGTCTAATGTAGTACTTTCAATGCTGAATTCAGGACAGTGCCAGGCAAACTCGGACAACTGGTCAACCTAGCTGTTAAGTAACTTATTTGCTCTCAATCAGTTATTAAGCAGCAGGGCCTGTATTCAAATCCAGGTGGGCTGACTTCAGACTCAAAATTGTTTGCTTTTGCCAGTGGTTCTCAATCTTGAGCATGCAAACCGGGAGGCCTTGTTAAAATTCAGATAGCCCCTCTTCAGGGTCTACAATTCAGTAGGTTGGGGCAGGCTAGAATTTGCCTAACAAGCTCTCTGGTGATGCTGACACTGCTGGACTAGGAACCAACTTAGATCTTTGTACTCGTTTTTTTCACCTCCAGATAAGGACTTTTTAACTTTTATTTTGTGAGACAAGGTCTCAATCTCTCTCTCAGGCTGAAATACAGCTTATGATCATGGTTCACTGCAACCTCAAACTCTTGGGCTCAAGCAATCCCCTGCCTCAGCAATACAAATAAACATATTGGAGGCCAGGTGTGAGACTCCACCTCAAAAAAAAAAAAAAAAAAAAGTAAAGGAATAGGGCTGGGCGGGGTGGCTCATGCCTGTAATCCCAGCACTTTGGGAGGCCCAGGCGGGCGGATCACAAGGTCAGGAGACAGAGACCGTCCTGGCTAACACGGTGAAACCCCATCTCCACATTTGTATAAAAATACAAAAAATTAGCCGGGAGTGGTGGCGGGCGCCTGTAGTCCCAGCTACTGGGGAGGCTGAGGCAGGAGAATGGGGTGAACCAGAGAGGCGGAGCTTGCAGTGAGCTGAGATCGCGCCAGTGCACTCCAGCCTAAGTAAAGAAATAAAACAATGGCTACTCCATAAAGCAGCCTCGAGGGCTGCTGGTTGCTCATGTTTATGGTTATTTCTTGATGATATGCTAAACAAGGGGTGGATTATTCATTGCCTCCCCTTTTTGACCATATAGGGTAACATTCTGGCGTCGCCACAGCATTGTAAGCGGTCATGGCGCTGGTGGGAGTGTAGCAGTGAGGATGTCCAGAGGTCATTCTCATCGGCATCTTGGTTTTGGTTGGTTTTGGCCGGCTTCTTTACTGTTTTACTGCCAACCTCCCATCTCATCCTGTGACTTAGAAATGCCTCAACCGTCTGGGAACGCAGCCCAGTAGGTCTCAGTCTCATTTTACTCAGCGCCTACTGAAGATGGAGTTGCTCTGCTGCAAAGGCCTCTGACAGAAGCTAAACACAGGTGGGGGCTATCTAAGAAGCAGATCCAATGCCCACTGCCCTTCCTCACTCCCCTAATAGATGTAGGGGACCATGGAATTTTACAGACTGAGGGACATACTCTGGGTGAGAAGAGCTTACCCTATCAAGGAAAAGTAAGTTCCCAGATGAAACACCACAGACACAAACGTATCGTAAGTCAGGCTTTGTACGTTTTCCAAAACTCACTACAGGGATCCCCTTTGAGGTGCAGAATCTTCCTGTGTCACGATAATCATGATTCCTTTGCCAAGGCCTTTTGATGTCATGGTCCGTGTTTTCCTCCGGATCCTTGGGCATGCGGAGGCAGGAGAGCCTAGCAGAGTGAGTGACAAACGCGAGGGAGGTGCAGCGGGGAGGGAGTGAGGGCAGCCCAGGGCCCAGCCGGGCGGGAGCCGCGCAAGAGGAGGACCAGCCAGCCAAGGCCGGGCGGCTCCAGAGGCGGCCCGGGACTTCCCAGTTTCCCAGCCTCTCGCACGCGGATCCCTGCCCCGACGCTGATTCAGGGGGTCAAAGCTTCGGAATGGGGCGGACCGCGGCGATGACTGGAGGCGCCCCTGTTTCTCTGGGTGTGGCCTGCGGACCCCCTCGGGAGCAGGTCGTCCCGCACCGGTGTCTGCCCCGGCCCCCAGGGACACCTGCACCCGCCCCACTCACGACGGCGCGTCCGGTCCCCAACCAGGCGTGGGGCGGGGTGCGAAGGTCGCGGTTCGGCCGCCCAGCCCGTGCTGCCCCCACCGCCCCCAGGCCTTGGGCAGCGCGCGCCCGGGCCACCCACCTCCCGCGGGCATGCGCAGGGCGGCCTCTCCGGACGCTGCGGCCGCGGTCCCGGCCCCGAGGGCTGAGCGCCTTCGGGGGCGGTAGAGAGAGCTGGAGGCATCTGTGTGATCGCCCCGCTTAGGTCCGCACTGAGTCGGGACGCAGCACAGCTGCCCGCGCCCGCTTAGACAGGCGAAGCCCTGGGAGGCAGTGGGAGAGGGAAAGACTGGGCCGGCGCGGGGCCGTGCGCCTGGAACCCCAGCGCTTTGGGAGGCCCACGATGGCGGATCGCTAGAGCCCAGGAGTTCGAGACCAGCCTGAGCAACATGGTGCCACCCCGTCTCTACAAAAAACACAAAAATTAGTGTGGCGCGGCAATGTGGACCTGTGGTCCCAGCTACTTGGGAGGCTGAGGCAGGAGGATCGCTTGAGCCTGGGAGGTCGAGGCTGCAGTGAACCCTGATTGCACCCCTGCACTCCAGCCTGGGCGACAGAGCGAGACCCTGTCTCAAAAAAGAAAAATAAATAAATAAACGACAGCCAGATTCACTGGGTTTGACTCCCAGCTGTGTGATCTTTTGCAAGTCAAACTCTCTGTGCCTTCAGTTCTTCACCTGTAAACTGGAATAGTGATAACCTCTTGTGCGGTGAGGTTTGAGGAGCTGGGTGAGGGAGCGGGACTGCACAGATTCTGACCACCATCGGTCCAGGTGCGATGACACTCCACCAGTGGGGGCAAGACACACGCGTGGTCTCCCAGACATCCAGAGCAGCTTCTATTAATACCCTGCCTGCCTGGGCCCAGCCATGAGAACTGCCCCTCCCCGAGGCAGAGTCTGGTCTTCCTCTTCTTGGGGAGCCCCAGAACTTCCAGAGAGTGTCCTGGACCATGAAGGTGACCAGGAAAGGGAATAGGTGGGTGGAGGCCTCTGCAGTGAAGCCTCAGGCCCCCTCTGGTCTCTCCAGGGTCGTCCTGGATAATCTGAATTTCCCTTTGAAATGAGCATGCACAGGTTCAGCTGATTCATAACTTAGTTTAATACCCTGTGAGGTTCACGCCACAGGGAAGCTCCGCTGCCCCACAGGGCCTGGGCCAGGTAGAAGAGAGCAGCCTCTTTGGATCACTGGCGGGGTCTTCTCCTTCAGCGTCTAACACTCACTCCCTGGCCCTCACTGGCCTCCATGCCTCTCTCTGCCCAACTTCCGGCAGAGTGCAAGGTCTAAGACCTCTTTGGACATGAGGCATGCGGTCTTCACCTGGCCCTTGTTCCAGACAGGTGGGCAGACAGGTAAGCAGAGCCGGTGCACCCAGGGCAGGCGAGGGAGCTGTGCGGCCAGGCCTCAGGACCCTGGACCCCACCGGGAGATGTGCTCCTGGGCTGGAAGGAAGCAGAAGAGAGCAGGGCTCGATGGCAGCCCAGGCAGTCCCAAAATGGGGGCCCTGCTGCACTCAGTCTGGAAGTGCCCATGGCCGTGGTTCCTGTGATGCTCCCGACCTTCCTAGCAGGGGCTGCTGGGAGCTGGTGCCATGCCAGGTTTCACCTCTGCCTCCACCATAGTTCATGGGGCTCCCAGGAACACCGAGGAACCCAACAGGTTCCCAGGCAGTAGCTTTCATGACAGGAGAAGAGGGTCCTTGGAGAAATTCCCTGCAGAGCTGCAGCTCTAGTCCTGCCTGTGTGGCCTTGCTGTGTGACACTGGGCCTGTCGTTGCCCCTCTAGGCTCAGGAGCCCACAGGTACAAGGCCCTGAGCAGGGCATCCTCCATGGCCCCGTGTGCCCAGACTCGCTCTGAACCTGCCACCTAGATACCCTTGCAGGCTGGACCGGGTCAGCAGCACCCCCAGGGACAGGGATCAGAGAAGGGGAGCCTCAGGAAGGCCCTCACCAAACTGGCAGATGTAGCGGTTTCGGGTTTTGCAGCGCTGGTCGTTCCAGTTGAAGGCAGCTGATGCCTGCAGCTCCACGCAGTTGCCAAACCTGCAGGCCAGGGTGTGGTGCTCAGGAGGGAAGAGTGAAGTCAGGGGTCCGGGAGAGGCCTAAACCCTCCAGCCATCAGGACCCTGCATCTCTGGGGCTCCAGAGCCCCCACCTGCAGATGGGGCTGCTGGGAACCAGGCCCATCCCTGAGCCCCCATCCCTGCTTCCCAGACCACTTCTCAGGGAAGCCCCTTCCTGGGGTAGCAGCTCTGCCTACCCCATGGCAGCACGCAGCCACACCAGCCTGTGGGGACGGTGTGGACTGGAATAGACAGCCCACTTGAGAGGTATACCTGGGAACCCAACAAGGCCGACTACCTCCAGGCAATAGGCCAGGGGCACAGGCCGGCTGCTGGCAAGGAGGGCTGGCTAAAATCACTGGAGACCTTGGTGGCCTGGCAGCAGGACCACCTCCACCCCGGCCCTGGGCATTCCTGGGCTTTGAAGAGCAGGGTGGGGCCACATGACCAGAGGGTTCTTGGTACAGGATGGCTGGTGGTCCACAGGTTCGGGGTTGTATTGTGAATGACTGCAGCGGGGGGTGACAGCTAAGGAATGCTGGCGTCAGTGTAACTGATGCAGGCAGAGGGCACGTGGAGGGAGGGGTGAGTGGATGAGAGTTGGAGGGATGGAGTCACAGCCAGGGGACACTGGGGATGGACAGATGGATGGAGGCTTCCTGGGCCCCTCTCTCCCACGTGACATGCCTTCCGGCTTGCATCTCCCTCACCACAGCACTGGCCCACACCAGCTGTGCCCACAACTCTCTGGCACCTGGGCAGGCACCAGCCAGGACCCAGCCAGGCAGCAGGATGGGGGGCGGCTCTTCAGTGTAGCCTGGGGGCTCTGCCAGGCAGGCCCGAGTGACAGGGAGGCCCAGGGGAGGGAGGCACCCCACACTCACCCCTGGTTGTCAGGCTGCCCAAAGGCAAAACTGGTGAAGGCCTGGTGCTCCCCTGTGGCCCAGCGGAAGGAGTCCTTGGCGGTCTTATAGGTGAGCCCTGGGCCGGGATAGTCGAGGTTGGCCCATGGCCAGAGGTCCCCCAGCCCACTCAGACCCTGGAGTCTGCTGCCAGCTGCTTCTCTGGCCCCTCCTCCCAGTGCTGGCAGCCCCCATGTGCTCCCTACCTGGACCCTCCCCGGGAAAGGGGGTGAGCAGCCGGCCCCGCTCTGGGCTCCAGGCCCTTACCACACCCTCGCCATCTGCTGGCAGCTGCCACAGCCCAGGGTTCCTGCAGCAGGTTGGGGCATCACAACCCCTTACTCGCCACACCCCTAATCAGCCGGGCACTCACCGATCCAGAAGTTCCTGGTCTCGAAGTCACTGTCAGTCACCTCGTTGGTGGTCTCCAGGCGGCCCAGGTAGAAGGCGAGGATGTCCTGCACTTTCTGGCTCTCGATCTGGGCCAGCACCCCACCTTTCCTCTGTAACCTCACCCCAGGTTACACAGGCAGGGCTCCTAGGAAGGCTGCCCCTTCCTGCCACCCCGCCCATGGCCGAGGATGTCACGTGTGTGCTGGCCAGGCTGTCATCACCCCCAGCCCGCACAGCCTCCCTTCCAAGAGCAGGAGTCCCCTCTGCTCACATCTGCTTCTCTTCTCCCTGTGCACAGCAGCCCAACCGGCAGCCCACAGGCCCGGGCAAGGTCTGGCCCCTGAGGATGTGCTGTTTCGCCTGCACAGTGTCTTCAACATATCTGAGTTGATTGCCAACCCCAGAAATTAACTGTGGTTTCGAGAGCTGCCAGTGGAAGTCTGAGCTGCTGGTTTTATTGAGCAGCCCCGAGCTCTGGCCACTCTGATCTTGCATTCCCTCCTGCAAGGCAACCTGAAACTCCCTTAGATGGAGGTTGGCCTTGACCTTGACCCCTCAGGTCAATAAGTGACCTCCTGGCTTCTATGAGCCTCAGAGTCCATGACCCCTGCTTTCTGCTGATGAACAGGGTGAGGTCAGAGACATTGAAGAAAGCATCTCTCACTCCAGGGTCCCTCCATTAACACCCTCACTTGAGGCCCTGGGGGGGTCCCTGGGAAGGTGGGGGTGACCGTCACCTGGCATTTCATCCTGGCTCTGTAATAGGTGTCTGCCTCTGAAGACACCATGAAGCAGTCTCCGTCGATCCTCAGGTCACAGGTGTGGAAGGGAAAATGCACCTTGGCTGGGGTAGGGGAGCCTGAGTTTGTGTGCGGACTTCAGAATCCCTGCCCTTTCCTGCCCTGCCAGGGAGCTAAGCCCCTTCCTCCAGCCACCTGCTCCAACAGAGTGGGTGGTGACGGTCAGGAGTGTGCTGGTAAGTGTGGAACATTGAGCTTGCTCTCTCTCAAAAGAAAAAAAAAATCCATGATTTGTAGCATTTGCCAATTTCTTTGGTGTAAATATCCACGCTGTGGCCGGTTTCAAGCTCTCAACGTGTTGTCACCGAATTAGTTGGAAAGAGAGGTACATAGTAGGCTCCTGGGAGCTGACGCCCCATTGAAGGGGGTCTTGGGAGGGGCTGGCTCTTTGGGGGCCCTGGGGCAGGACTCACTGGCACACTGGGCTCCCCCGTAGCCGACGTCACAGACGCACGAGCACTCCTCCTCCCGAAACCGGCCGTGCACACACTGCAGGCTGCACCGCACTGCCAGGGCAGGGCAGTGGGGCAGAGGCTCAGCTCCCAGCCTTCTGGACCCCACGCTGCCCCCAAAGGCCTCGAACATCCAGGGAATGCCAACCACAGCAAGAATACCCCTCCCAGAGACAGAACCCACGAAGGCTTCTGACTGCTGGCATGCCTGGTGTCTTTGGTTTGGTTCCCACTGTAGAGTGAGGCATATCGGAGTTTGGGAGGTGACCTGCCCATAGTCACAGAGTGGGTTAGGGTTGAGGGGCAGTGGGGCAAGAAGCCACTTCTGGATCCTAATTCTGTCCTCCTCCCAAAGCCTAAGGGGCTGAACCTGATTTCACTGTGAATCTCCTCCACAGCTCAGGGTCTGGCAAATAGCCAGTGCTATGCAGTGGGCAGACTCAGGGAGTACACGGTCAGCACCTCTAACACCCTTGAGACTCAGGAAGTGTAGCAGCCCCAGGACCTGCTGCGAGAGCAGCGCTGGGCACACCCAGGTTCTAGTGCCCTCACCTTGGCAGTACCTGCCAGTGTAGCCAGGTGGACAGTGGCAGTGGCAGGTGCTGATGTTGAGACGTCCGTGGTTCTGGCAGCTCATGCGACAAGGGTTCCTGGGGACCTCTGGTCAGAGGAGGAGGGGGCTCCGAGAAAAGGGTCTCCTCCCAGCAGGCCGGGCAGGAGCCTCCCTGGGTGCTGAGGGTCGGGGCTTCCGGGACAGCCCAGTAGGATGCTGCCACCCCTACCCCAGGGTCACCAGACTGAGCCCTCATGCACTCACCACAGAGCCCCCCTGCATGGTCCCAGGCTTTGAAGCAGCCTGAGACGCTGGCTGTGCAGAGCGAACACCAGGCGCCCTTCTTATAGGGGACGATTGTCTTTCCATTGACCTCCCAGTTGCCTCTGTGACGACAAGCAGGCACCACAGGGTGTGGGAGGGCCTGGCCTTGGGCAAGGCAGTGGTGGGTCCCTGCTGCCTGCCCCCCTGGCCCCTACAGTTCCTGTGGCCTGGCCAGAGAGTTAGGGAGCTGGGTGAGATAGAGAGATTCCCTGGGAGAGAAGAGATGACCTCCAAACGAATCCTGGACAAACTCCCTGATACCAGGACTGGTACCCAGGAAGGGGCATCCACAGAGCAGTACCTTCTGCATGGCCACAATCTTCAGCACCCTCTGCCTTTCCTCTCCTCCCTTCTCCCACCAAGGGTGCAGAGGAAGGTGTCGGACTTTACTTTCAGGTGGATGGGGGGGCATCTCACCCTCAGTGAAAGCGCCCCTCCCTGCCTCCCAGACATCCCAGCAGAGGGTGTAGCAGGGCTTACCCGGGGGAGTAGGCACAGACAAAGGCTTCTATCGCTGCCTGGTCTGCAGAGCACAGGTGCCGCCCACAGCCCAGCTGGCTTGAGGTGGCCCACACGAGCTACAGGAGACACAGGGGATCAGAAACCCTATCGTGAACTCCTGGGGAGGGGAACACAGCTTTCACTATCATCCAGGCGGACAGAGGGCTCCCTCACCTCCTCGGGGGCTCAGGAGCAGCAGCTGTCCTGGGCAGGGGTAGAAGTATGGGTGGGAATAGTCCAGGAAGGCTTTTTAATTTTTTTAATTTTTTTTATTTTTGAGATGGAGTTTCACTCTTCTTGCCCAGGCTGCACTGCAATGGCACAATCTCGGCTCACCGCAACCTCCACCTCCTGGGTTCATGCGATTCTCTTGTTTCAACCTCCTGAGTAGCTGGGATTACAGGTGACTGCCACCACGCCTGGCTAATTTTTTTTGTATTTTTAGTAGAGATGGGGTTTCTCCATGTTGGACTGGTCTTGAACTCCCAACCTCGGGTGATCCGCCTGCCTCAGCCTCCCAAAGTGCTGGGATTATAGGTGTGAGCCACCATGCCTGGCCTAGGAAGGCTTTCTTAGTTGAGAGGGGAATGGAGAGGGGAGGGCTAGCAGATACCTGAAGGGAGGGGAGATCGTTGATGGGTGGAGGGGACTAGCCAAAAAAAGACTGGGACATCAAGGGCCTTGTGACTGCATTATGACCACAACCCTTCACTTCTTGCACTAGCCCACTCTTTTAAATATGACTCTGCAGCTTTTTGCAGTAAGGAGAGGTGTCTCTTTCCTTGCTCCTTGAATCTGGCTGGCCCTGTAACTGGTGTTGGCCACCAGAATGCAGCAGAAGTGATATTGAGCTGATTTTGAACTTGGCCTTAAGAGACCTTGCCATTTCCACTCATTCTCATAGAACCATGCTCAGCCACTACATGAACAAGCTCAGTAAAGCCTGGTGGAGGTTGAAAGGCCTCATGGAATACAGATGAACCACTAGAGGCCTTTTTGCACAGCCAGCTCCCAGCCAGCCCCCTACTTGATTGCAGGCATATGAGTGGGCCCAGCCAAGACCAGAAAACCTCCCTGCTGAGCCCAACCCAAGTGGCTGACATGCAGAATCGTAAGCTGCTAAATTTTGGGGTAGAATGTCATGCAGCAAAAGCTAATGGATACAGCTCTGCAAACCAGTTTAAAGTCTTAGAATCAGCGACAACTTGGAAATAGCACAAATGGCCAATATATAAGAAAAGTGAAACAAACTCTCCAGTAGAGACTAAAAATTACATGTACAAGACTGGCTTGTAGCAGCCAGATGTGAACATGTGATCATATACATGTATCCAACACTTAAAGAACATGTATTGTTTTTCGGAATGCATGGGACTTCTGCAAACCACAAAGCAAGACCACACATTAGACCACTATGCAAGTTTCAACAAATACCAAAGAATCAACACATCCTACACGCCACATTCTATGAATTCAGTGCAATGAAATTTAAACTGAATAATTTACAAGTAAATTAAGAAGATAACATAGTTCAGAAACTTAAAGATACACTTCAAAATCTAAAACAACATCATGGCTAGGTGTGGTGGTTCACATCTGTAATCCCAGCACTTTGGGAGGCTGAGTTGGGTGGATCATGTGAGTTCAGAAGTTCCAGATCAGCCTGGTCAGCATGGCAAAACCCTTTCTCTAATACAAATACAAGAAATTAGCCAGGCATGGTGGCATACACCTGTATTCCCATCTACTTTGGACCTGAGGTGGGAAGATCACCTGAGCCCAGGAAGTTGAGGCTGCAGTGAGCTGAGATTGCACCACTGCACTCCAGCCTGGGCGACAGAGCCAGACCCTGTCTCAAAACAAAGACAATATCGTGATTGGAAATAGAAAAAAATCCCTAAATAACAATGAAAACATTAAATATCAAAACTTATTGGATGTAGCTGAAATCGTTTAAAGGGAAATTTATAGCTTTAAATGTATATAGTAGAAACAAAAAAGATTTAAAATTAATGATCTAAATATTCATATCAAGAAAATTAGAAACAATAATAGAGGCCGGGCACGGTGGCTCATGCCTGTAATCCCAACAGTTTGGGAGGCCGAGGTGGGTGGATTACCTGAGGTCAGGGGTTCGAGACCAGCCTGGCCAACATGGCAAAACCCCGTCTCTACTAAAAATACAAAAATTAGCCGGGTGTGGTGGTGGGCGCCTGTAATCCCAGATACTCAGGAGGCTGACACAGGAGAATCTCTTGAACTCAGGAGGAGGAGGTTGTAGTGAGCTGAGATCGCGCCACTGCACTCCAGCCTGGGTGACAGAGCGAGACTCTGACTCAAAAAAACCCAACAAAAACAAAATAAACAAAAAACAACTAACAACAAGAAAACAGGGTTAGGTTTTTCACACCTTTGAGTCTGACAAAACTTAAGGAGCCAGGGCTGGGTGCAGTGGCTCACGCCTGTAATCCCAGCACTCTGGGAGGCCGAGGTGGGCAGATCATGAGGTCAAGAGATTGAGACCATCCTGGCTAACATGGTGAAACCACGTCTCTACTAAAAAATACAAAAAATTAGCCGGGTGTGGTGGTGGGTGCCTGTAGTCCCAGTTACTTGGGAGGCTGAGGCAGGAGAATGGTTTGAACCTGGGGGGCGGAGCTTGCAGTGAGCCGAGATCGCACCACTGCACTCCAGTCTGGGCGACAGAGCAAGACTCCGTCTCAAAAAAAAAAAAAAAAAAAAAAATTAAAGAGCCACAAGATCTTTGGGAAGTGGGAACTGGTTTGCTGGTCTCTCCAGTTGGTGTAATCACTTTGGCAACACCTAGTTGTAGGCACATGTTCTTTTTTCTCTGAGACAGGGTTTTACTCCTGCTGGCCAGGCTGGAGTGCAATGGTACAATCTCAGCTCAGTGCAATCTTCACCTCCCAGGCTCAAGCAATTCTCCTACCTCAGCCTCCCAAGTAACTGGAACTACAGGCACACACCATCACACCCGGGTAATTTTTGTATTTTTTGTAGAGGCAGGTTTTTGCCATGTGGCCCAGGCTGGTCTCAAACTCCTGGGCTCAGGCAATCCTCCCACCTTGGCCTCCCAAAGTGCTGGGATTACAGGCGTGAGCCACCACGCCCAGCCTTATGTAATACTTAAACATGCACAACACACTTGCGTAAGTAGTAGAGGTATTCAATATTTCCTGGGATTTCGCTTGTGTTTTTCAGTGCCATACCTTAGCACCTGAACAGTGCCAGGTGTGTATAGAAAATCCTCAACAAATATCTGTTGAATGAAGAGAAAAAATGGAAACTTGCTTGGCAGTGATGCTCCTGAACTTCAAGAAGATTCCCTCCAGGGAGGGACAGCAGGGAAAAGGGAGGAGCGGGGCTTTAGTTTAGTAGCATCTTCTAAACCTAGGTAGTGGGTAAGAGTGGGGCCATTTTAAATTTATGTTTGAGGCCAGGCACAGTGGCTCACACGTGTAATCCCAGCACTTTGGGAGGCCCAGGCAGGTGGATCACTTGAGGTCAGGGGTTTGAGACCCAGCCTGGCCAACATGGTGAAACCCCATCTCTACTAAAAATACAAAAATTAGCCAGGTGTGGTGGCTCATGCCTGTAGTCCCAGCTACTTGGGAGGCTGAGGCAGAAGAATCACTTGAATCTGGGAGGTGTAGGTTCTAGTGAGCTGCGATCACGCCATTCCACTCCATTCTGGGTGACAGAACAAGACTTCGTCTCAAATAAATAAATAAATAAATAAATAAATAAATAAATAAATAAGTTTATGTTTGAAATTATTATTCATATTTCAGATTGAAAAAAAGTGGCTTAGGCCAGGCGTAGTGGCTCACACCTATAATTCCAGCACTTTGGGAAGCTGAGGCGGGCAGATCATTTGAGGTCTGGAGTTCGAGATCAGCCTGGCCAACATGGTGAAACCCCATCTCTACTAAAAATACCAAAAAAATGAGCTGGGTGTAGTGGCGCGTACCTGTAATCCCAGCTACTCGGGAGGCTGAGGCACAAGAATCGCTTGAATCTAGTAGACAGAGGTTGCAGTGAGCTGAGATCATGCCACTGCACTCCAGCCTGTGGTGACAGAGTGAGACCGTGTCTCCAAAAAAGCAAAAATATGGCCAGGCACAGTGGCTCACGCCTGTAATCCCAGCACTTTGGGAGGTTGAGGCGGGTGGATCACGAGGTCAGGAGATCGAGACCATACTGGCTAACACAGTGAAACCCCATCTCTACTAAAAATACAAAAAATTAGCTGGGCATGGTTGTGGGCACCTGTAATCCCAGCTACTCAGGAGGCTGAAGCACAAGAATCACTTGAACCAAGGAGGCGGAGGTTGCAGTGAGCCGAGATTGCACTGTTGCACTGTAGCCTGGGCGACAGAGCAAGACTCTGACTCAAAAAAAAAAAAAAAAAGTAAAACTAAACAAATTGGAGGAAAAGGAATCCCAACATTTAGGTCAAACTAGCCTCTTCTGAGATGGCCCAGCAGGAGCCTGTATCTGGGAACTGGCACACTGGCATCACTGCAACACACTCACCTGCGTGTAGTGGGTGCAGGTGGCATTGCGGGCACACTCCCCTGCCGCGTGGCTGTACCGCTGCCCCTCTGCAAACCACAGGCTGACCACTTCGACAAAGGACGCTGAGCCCGCAGGCAGCAGCTGCACGTTCCAGCCCACTTGCAAGGTGCGCCACGGGGCGGACGCCAGGCTCGGGGTTGGGGTTCCACAGAGGGCTGCCCTGGCTTGAGCCAGTTGGGCCAGGCTGTCACTCCAGTCCTGGGGGAAGCACAAACAGAGACATCTGTGGGAGGCCTTTGACTGCTGGGCCAGGCCTCCCCTACCATCTCTGAGCATCCACCGGGTGCCAGGTCAGGAGGCAAAGAGAGCACTGGATGAGGAGTCCTGCTGGAGGAAGCAGTGGTGTTGTCTGATGCTCGTCCAGGAGCCCAGCCTCTCAGGACTGAGCCTCCATCTCTGAATCCTGTTGTGGGCATCCTTCAGCCCTGCCCAGGCAGTGGGATGGGCTCCTGCTGTCTTTCTCCCATCTGGTCAAGTGAGCAGTGCCCACGCCTTACAGACTGGTTCTGTGTTTGGGCCCTGGCCGTTGTCAGAAAGGCTCCCCTACTCCCACCGGGCCATGCTGCCCTCCTGTGATGCAAGACGCCCTACAGCCACGCCTCTCCGCCCTGGTCTCCTGTCCCCGTACCCGCCTCATCGGCTCCCTACCACGCACAGCTAACCCCGCCCCCTCCCTCTTCTTCTTTTTTTTAAGACAGAGTCTCACCCTGTTGCCCAGTCTGGAGTGCAGTGGAGCAATCTCGGCTTACTGCAAACTCCGCCTCCCAGGTTCAAGCGATTCTCCTGCCTCAGCCTCCCGAGTAGCTGGGATTAGAGCCATGTGACACCACATCTGGCTAATTTTTGTATTTTTAGTAGAGACAGGGTTTCACCACGTTGGCCATGCTGGTCTCAAACTGCTGACCTTAGGTGATCTCCTTGCGTCAGCCTCCCAAAGTGCTGGGATTACAGGTGTCAGCCACCGCGCCCAGCCCCCTCCCTCTTCTTAAACAAGGGGCCTGGCAATCGCCACCCCTGGGTGACCTGCTGCAGACCCCTGATCTCCCGAGACTCCCTGAGCTCATCTGTAAATGGAGCAGGGAGGTGCCTGTAGGATAGAACTCAAAAGCACTGAGTGGGTGCAGGGTGGGGGGGCCCTCAGGGCTGCACCCCAAGCCGACTTTGCCCTGCACTAATGTCCATTGGGGTTTTACCTCTGATGAAGGCTCCCCGGGGTCCCTCAGCAACCCCACACCTCCACAAGACCTTCAGTCTCCACTGTGTCCAGAGAAGGGGTGCCCCAGAGCCCTAGAGGCCCGGAGGGTGCTTGGGGCCGGGCCATGAGGGAGGCTGAGACATGGAGCTCCATTTGCACCTTTATGGAAATGAAGTTTTCTAGGACTTTGACAAAAGGGCCCTGGAAAGGGTGCCAACTGCCAGCCATTGACTGCCGCAGGCCCTCCTGGGGTCCCAGGCAGGAGTACCCACCACGGAGGTCACAGCTGGGAGCAGCCCTGGCGGCACAGGGTCTGAGCCTGAGGAGCGGCTGAGCCGCTCAGGGCGGGGAAAGGGAGAGAAGCGACCTCCCCCATTTAGCCACCCCACCCCCACCTCCTGGGAAACTGACCCTAGAGTGCTCAAGGACGCCACCGTGGCCGCCTGCCTCGGAGGAGTTCATGGGAAGCAGCCATGGGGAACCCTCCCGCCCCCACCACCCTGCCCTGGCTCCCTGGCCTGCTAACATGGGCTGGGGCTGCTGGGGTCCCAGACAATGGGGGGCAGCGTTTCTGAGCCCCCAGATGACAGCCCCAACCCAGCAGCCCCAGCCAGGCTGGTGGAGAACACTATACCCCCGATCCCCGGCCCCTGCTGAAAATGTGGACGACTGAGTGAGCAGAGAACATGGGCAAGGCCTGTCCTAGTGGCTCAGATAAGCTCAGGAGGAGGCGCTGGGTCCTTGCACAGAAGCGCCTCCCCAGCCCAGCAGGACCCTCTCCCTCCCTGGCCCTCCCGCCCTGCAGGGGTCCTTCCCTGGAGGAGGGGATCCGGCTCCTCCAGCGGCTCCTGGTCTCCGTGGCAACAAGATGCCAGGGAAGGCCCAAGGTCCTGCCCTTCAGGCAAGTGGGAGCCAAGGGGCCCGACCTCCTGAACTGAGGGTGGGGGGTTAAGAAGTTGCAGAGACCTCCAGCAACCAGGGCCTTGGTCCCTCAGGGCCAAAGTGCCTGGCTGTGCCTTCCCACCCCGGTCAAGTGGAAGAGTGCCTGGACAGGCGTGGCCTCCCCAGCTGCCCTCTGGGGTCTGTGCCTCCAGCCGCCCCCCTGGCAGAGCCCAGCTGGGTCTGGTACTCACCAGCCTCCGCATGTCAGCCGCAGGGGGCTGGACCCAGCTGCGCAGGCGGTTGTGCAGGGAAAGGAGCAAGAAACTCTCCTTCCTGGTCAGGGCTGGGGTGGGGAGAGAAGGGAGTTCTTTCCGTTCTTAGGTAGCCCGAGGATGGGGGCACCTGGACCCACCACAGCAAAATAAGCACACGTCCCCGCCCTCGGAAAACAAGATGGGAGAGGAGTATGGTGGGTGCAGGGGACAGGGGGCACAGTGATGCAGCCAGGCTGAGAGAGAGACCAGGTACAGCAGGCGTGGGCTGAGTGCTGGGGACGGGGTGGCGGGAGGGAACAGAGGTGGGGGCTGGGTGTAGGGGGGCCAGCCCTGGCTCCCAGCAGGCCCCTGTCTGGGGCTCCTCTGGGCCACTGAGTTTCTCCAGGCCCCAGCCACAGACTCCCTCGGGCATTCCTCCTTGACCCCAGCCCTGGCCCCCTTCCTCCTCCTTCCTCACCAGTCCAGCATCCACCCCTCACCGCCCCAGGCTGTCCCAGGGCTTCCTCATTAAACCACCTGCAGGACTGGCCTGGGACCGGGCTTCCAGAAGTCTCCTAGCACCCACTCCACCGAGCTCGTAATGGTGCCTCCACCTACCTCCTCACCAGGTGTCCCTTACCTCTGGCCATCGGAGCCTGCTCCTGTAGCTGGGGTGGCCACACCTCTGCCCAGGTGGTGCCAAGGAAGGCCAGGAGCACAGCCAGGAGGTGCCCCCGGCCAGGGGAGGTCTCCGAATGCAGCATGGGTCTGTTGGGCCTGTCAGGCGCTCCGAGCACAGCCTGGCTCAGCCACCCGGCCTGTTTCTCAGGCTGGATGGAGCTATTCACAATCTCCAGGAGTCAGGCTGGGCTGGTAGACAAAAGAGGGAGGCTGGTGAGTGAGTAATCAGTGTGTCCAAACAGCCTCCTGTTGGTGCTGGCATGAAAAGAGACGACTCCGGGGGATGCCTGCCTGCTCTGGCCTCAGCCTGGCCAGCCCGCCCCCGACAGCAGGCAGAGTGGCGTGCACTGACCCCGTGGCCCCTGCTAATCATTGTAGGATTATTAGCGCCCTTGGGGAGCCCCCAGAGACCCCGCTGATTGGCCCACGGACATTCCAGGGCTGCGGATTAGTGACCAACGGCTGTGTCCTGTCTGGGACAGTGTCCTCCGAGCCCACTGATGGCTTCCACTCCCCAGTCCTGGGCCCTGGGAGGAGGCTGGGACCTCGGCTATGGTCCTTCTGGTGAGCAGGAACTGGGCAAGACCCCAGGGGAGTTATTTTCTTTCTCAGGAAGCTCGTCCCAACCCCCCAGCCATGAATTAAACATAGGCAAGAGGTAACCGCACACCAGAGAGGTGCGATCTGTGGGCCTGAAGAGGGGTGGGCTGCGGCCGCACCTGCGCTAGGAAAAGGGTGCCTTAGGAAAGTCTATCTGGGCAGTGTCGGGGGCTGGGCCCAGCCCCGGTGCCCACCACCTTCACCCACGTGACTATGGGCCATGGGGGAGTGAGGCAGGAGGAGTCAAGGCAGGCGGGGATCAGAGCACGTGATGCCCTTGGCTGACTCCAGTCCTGCTCGGATCAAGTCTGCTTCTAGACAGGCGGCGTAGCAGGAGGGCAGCACCTTGCCATGAAGTTCCGTGGCCCAGCCGTGGTTGGCATGATCCCACCAGAGTGAGCTGGAGCAGATCTGCACCGTGGGCCACAGGACAGCCCTGAAAAAACAGGGCTGTCCTGTGGGCCGCAGCCTAATGCCCACATTCCTCTCGGGGCAGATCAAAGGTTATTCAACCAGGTCACAGCCTTGCAAACCAACTATGTCCTCCTTCTGGAGTTTGTGTGATCCCTGGCCCGAGCCCGCACCTTCTCGGAGTGGGGTTCCAACTCCGTGGAAGCTCCGCTGAGATGCAGGTAGGGTTGGCTTTCCTGGGGAAACACCAGTGGAATGCGGCTATCGTCATGGGTGCCAGGGATGCGGACGAGGCCAGGCATACAGGACGTGCAGGCAGTCTGGAACTGCGTGTCCCCCACAATACCTAGGGGCTCAGGAGTTTCTTCTCCCTCAAACAGAAACCCAGCACCCTCAGGGTCACCGCATGCGGGTCCTAGCAATGCTTAATAGTTACCTGTTTTTTGGTGTATTTTTACTTTTTAGACAGTCTCACTCAGTCACTCAGGTTGGAGTGTTATAATCTCAGCTCACTGCAGCCTTGACCTCTTGGGCCCAAGTGATCCTCCCACCTCAGCCTCCCAAGTAGCTGGGACCAGGTGTGTGCCACCATGCCTGGCTTATTTTTTTATTTTTTTGGTAGAGACAGGATTTCGTCGTGTTGTCTAGGCTGGTCTCCAACTCCTGGGCTCAAGCGATCTTCCCACCTTGGCCTCCCAAAGTGCTGGGGTTACAGACATGAGCCACCACACCTGGCCATGCCCCCTGTGTTTATCGAGCTCACAAAGCCTGTTTGCATGTGTGAGATCAATTATTGAACTAAAGCCTGTTTGCATGTGTGAGTTCAATTATTGCCACAAGAACAATGCAGTAGTGCAGTAGTAGGTGGGACGCCCGTCGTGGAGATAAGGAAATGGGCTCAGTGTGTCTAAGGGGCTTGTCCAAGGTCACTCAGCGAGGGCATGGAGCATCCCAGCTAATCCAAGGTCTCTGCCTTCCCATTCCCAATGCTTTAGTTCACATCCTGACCTTTCTCAGTGCACTTTCCACAGCTCTGCTGTGCTGGGTAATAAAAGACCCACTTCCTCGGCCGGGCGCGGTGGCTCAAGCCTGTAATCCCAGCACTTTGGGAGGCCGAGGCGGGTGGATCACGAGGTCAGGAGATCGAGACTATCCTGGCTAACATGGTGAAACCCCGTCTCAACTAAAAAAAAAAAATATATAAAAAACTAGCCGGGCGTGGTGGCGGGCGCCTGTAGTCTCAGCTACTTGGGAGGCTGAGGCGGGAGAATGGCGTGAACCCGGGAGGCGGAGCTTGCAGTGAGCCGAGATCACGCCACTGCACTCCAGCCTGGGAGACACAGCGAGACTCCGTCTCAAAAAAAAAAAAAAAAAAAAAAAAGACCCACTTCCTCCTCTTGGGCTTCCATGGCAAACATGGCCAGTTGGCCCATATGGTATGATGCCAGGCACTTGGGACAGGTGGGAGAAAAATATATTTTGGGGGTTGGGGGGAGCAACTTTTGAAGGGCTCCATGGCCCTGGCTCACTGCAAGAAGAGTCCAGGCCGGACACGGTGGCTCATGCCTGTAATCCCAGAACTTTGGGAGGCCAAGGCAAGCAGATCACTTGAGGTCAGGAGTTCGAGACCAGCCTGGCCAACATGGTGAAACCCTGTCTCTAGTAAAAATACAAAAATTAGCTGGACAGGGTGGTTTAGCTGTAGTCCCAGCTACTCGGGAGGCTGAGGCAGGAGAATTGCTCGAATCTGGGAGGCGGAGGTTGCAGTGAATCAATATGGCACCACTGTACTCCATCCTGGGCGACAGAGCAAGACTCTGTCCCACCCCCAACCCCTCAAAAAAAAAAAAAAAGAGTCCCAGGAGAGCAAGGTTCATGAGCCAGAAGAGAAGCTGAGTGGATAAAAGATTAATGAGACACTGGAAGGCCTAGGCTGGAACTGACACGCTGTGTGACCCTGAGGATGGCACTCCCACTCCTGAAACTCAGTATCCAATGGTGTAGAGCTAGGATGACCCCTCTGCTGGGCCCCTAACCAGAGCATCGCAACTTGGTTTCCGAGGTACTTCCTCCTGGGCTCAGACTTTTTACTGCAGCCTGCTTGGTGGCCTGGGTGGGTCTGGAGAATGGGCAGCCTCGTTCTTGCAAGGCAACTTTCCCCAGGTGAGGCTATTACAGGGTTTACATCCGCCACCCAGACTGTAGGATTCACATTTTGCTATATTTTCTTTATCACCTGTGTCTCTATCTATCCCACCCCTCTCCAGCTCATGCACAGTTGATACCTCTTCGCCCAGTCTGCACTTGAAGGTTATAGCGGTCAAGTCATTTTGTCTCTTCCTGAAGCAGCTCCTTTCTTTAAAGCCTTGAAATCTTGTTGATGGTCTCCAAAAACAAAACAAAAAAAAACACGAAACAAAACAAAACAAAACAAAAAACCATTCAACTCTAGGAGAGTTGTGGCCACATTTTCTTCTAAAAATTATATGTCCAGGCCAGGCATAGTAGCTGACACCTATAATCCCAGCACTTTGGGAGGCCAAGGTGGGTGGACTGCTTGAGCTCAGGAGTTTGAGACCAGCCTGGGCAGCATGGTGAAATCCTGTCTCTAAAAAAAATACAAAAAATTAGCTGGGCGTGGTAGCATGTGTCCATAGTCCCACCTACCTGGGAGGCTGAGGTGGGAGGATAGCCTGAGCCGGGGAGGTCAAGGCTGCAGTGAACTGTGATCATGCCACTACACACCAGCCTGGGTAACAGACCAAGATTCTGTCTCAAGAAAAAAAAAAAATTAGGCCAGGTGCAGTGGCTCACGACAGTAGTACCAGCACTTTGGGAGGCCGAGGTGGGCAGATCACCTGAGGTCAGGAGTTTGAGACTAGCCTGGCCAACATGGCAAAATCCTGTCTCTACTAAAAATACAAAAATTAGCTGGGTATGGTGGCACACACCTGTAACCCCAGCTACTTGGGAGGCTGAGGTATGAGAATCACTTAAGCCCAGGAGACAGAGGTTGCAGTGAGCTGAGATCACACCACTGCACTCTAGCCTGGGCAACAGAATGAGACTCTAAAAAACAAAAATAAAATTCATGTCTATTTAATTTTTTAATTTTTCTCGAGATGAAGTCTGGTTCTGTTGCCCAAGAAAAGAAGAAGAGGGAGTGCAGTGGCACGATATCGGTTTACTGTGACCTCTGCTTCTGGGGTTTGACCTCCACATCCCAGGCTCAAGCCATCTTCCTACCTCAGCCTCCTGAGTAGCTGGACTGTGGGTGTGCGCCACCAGACCCAGGTAATTTTTGTATTTGTAGTAGAGATGGGCTTCACCATGTTGCCCAGGCTGGTCTCAAAGTTCAAGCTATCTGCTAGGATTACAGGCGTGAGCCACCACACCCAGGCCCAAATTAGTATGTTGAAGTTCTAACTCCATTACCTCCGTGTCACTGTATTTAGCGATAGGGTCTTTAAAGAGGTAAATAAAGTTAAATGAGGTCATTGGGATGGGTCCTGATCCAACCTGACTGGTCCCGTTATAAGAAGAGACACACAGAGGGAAGGTCCCGTGAAGACACAGGGAGAAGGCAGCTGCAGACAAGCCAAGGAGAGAGATCCTCAGAGGAAACCAACCCCCCCGCACCTTGATCTTGGCCTTTATGCCTCCTGAGAAAATACATTCTGTTTTTTAAGCCACCCAGCGTGTGGTACCTTGTATGACAGCCCTAGCAAATGAACACAGCCCTTATGAAAAACGTACAGCTAATATCACACTTAACAGTGAGACCAAAGACTTTCCTCCCTAAGATCAAAACAAGGCAAGGATGTCTTTCCTCACCGGTCCCACCAAACATTGTACTACTGAATGTGCAATGTGTGCATTAATTAACAAAGAGACATTAAAGGCATCCATACTGAAAAGAAAGAAGTAAAACTATCTTCATTTGCAGATGATATAATTCTACTGTAGAAAATCCGAAGGAATATTTAAAAAAAAAAAAATCCTACTAGAATAAAGGTCTCACAATACAAAATTAACACACCAAAATTCACTGCATTTCTATAAACTGGCAATAAACAATCCAAAAATGAAATTGAGAAAACAGTTCCACACATGGCCAGGCACAGTGGGTGACATCTGTAATCCCAGCACTTTGGGAGACCGAGGTGGATGGATTGCTTGAGGTCAGGAGTTCAAGACCATCCTGGTCAACATGGTGAAACCTCATCTCTACTAAAAATACAAAAAATTAGCCAGGCGTGGTGGAGGGCAACTGTAATCCCAGCTACTCAGGAGGCTGAGGCAGGAGAATTGCTTGAACCCGGGAGGTGGAGGTTACAGTGAGCCGAGATTGCACCACTGCACTGCAGACTAGGCGATAGAATGAGACTCATTCTCAAAAAAAAAAAAAAAAAAAAAAAATCCATACATATAAAACTGTAAAACATTGCTGAGAGAAACTAAAGATCTAAAAAAATGCATAGACATTTCACATTCATGGAATAGAAGACTCAATATTGTTTTGTTGTTTTTTGAGACTGAGTCTTGCTCTGTCATCCAGGCTGGAGTGCAGTGGCGTGATCTCTTCCTACTGCAACCTCCACCTCCCGGGTTTAAGTGATTATCCTGCCTCAGCCTCCCAAGTAGCTTGCTCACAGGCGCCTGCCACCACACCCGGCTAATTTTTATATTTTTAGTAGAGGCAGGGTCTCACCATGTTGGCCAGGCAGGTCTTGAACTCCTGATCTCAAGTGAGCCGCACACCTTGGCCTCCCAAAGTGCTGAGATTATTAGGCATGAGTCACCACACCTGGCCAATTTTTGTATTTTTAGTAGAGACAGATTTCACGGTATAGATGAATGGTAATTCTCCCCAAATTTGTCTATTAATTCAATGCAATGCCCATCAAACTTCCAAAAGATTTTCGTTGTTGTGTTTATTTTAAAGCAGTTGAGAGGCCAGGTGTGGTAGCATGTGCCTGTAATCCCAGCTATTTGGGAGGCTGAGGCAGGAGGATCCCTTGAGCCCAGGAGTTTGAGACCAGCCTGGGCAATATAGCAAGATCTATCTCAAATTGGATCTTAAAATTGAATCTTAAAATTGGATCTTAAAATTTGCATGGAAACGCAAAGGAATTAGAATAACCAAAACACATCTGAAAAAGAATAAAATCGGAGAATGTACACTACCTGATTTCAAAACTTGCTATGAAACTTCTAGTATTCACATCTATAAGATATGGAAAAAGGATAGACATATAGATCAAGGGAACAGAAGGAACAATATACAAAAAAACTCTTATATTTATGGCCAATTATTTTTTATTTGAGGGTCTTGCTTTGTCACCCAGGCTGGAGTGCAGTGGCACCATCATTGCTCAGAGTAACCTCGAACTCCTGGGCTCAAGCCATCCTCATGCCTCAGCCTCCTGAGCAGGTAGGACTATGGGCACGTGCCACCATACCCAGCTGCTTTTTTTTTTTTTTTTTCCAGACAGGGTCTCACTCAGCCTGGGTGACAGAGTGAGACCCTGTCTGGAAAAAAAAAAAAAGCTCTGGGGTTCAGGTGATCCTCCCACCTCAGCCTCCCGGGTAGTTGGGACTATGGGCATGCAACGGCATGCTCAGCTAATTTTTTGTATTTTTGGTAGAGACGGGGTCTTGCCATGTTGTCTAGGCTGGTCTAAAATTCCTGGGCTCAAGTGATCCTCCTGCCTTGGCCTCCCAAAGCACTGATATTACAGTTGTAAGCCACTGCGCCTGGCCATTTTCTTTTTTTTCTTTTTTCTTGTTTTTGAAACGGAGTCTCGCTCTGTCGCCCAGGCTGGAGTGCAGTGGTGCCATCTCAGCTCACTGCAAGCTCCACCTCCTGGGTTCACACCATTCTCTTGCCTCAGCCTCCCGAGTGGCTGGGACTACAGGCGCCTGCCATCACGCCTGGCTAATTTTTTGTATTTTTAGTAGAGATGGGGTTTCACTGTGTTAGCCAGGATGGTCTTGATCTCCTGACCCTGTGATCCACCTGCCTTGGCCTCCCAAAGTGCTGGGATTACAGGCTTGAGCCACCGTGCCTGGCCTTTTTTTTTTTTTTTTTTTTAAGATGGGGTCTCACTATGTTGCCCATGGTGGAGTGCAGTGGCTATTCACAGGTGCAACCATAGTTCACTGCAACCTCCAACTCCTGGTCAGCTGCTACTTCTTAAAATGTTTCTCTGGTTCATGTTTCAGAGTCTGGTTCATGACTCTGCTACACTTCAGTTTCAAAAGCTGGTAGCAAAGGAAAGAACATGCCAAGAGCTGAGGTTCTGCTGTGATGAGACCACCCAAGCTCCCTGTATCTATACCAAGGGATCTGTTGCCCAGGCTGGAGTGCAGTGGTGCGGTCTCGGCTCACTGCAACCTCTGCCTCCCGGGTTCAAGCGATTCTCCTGCTTCAGCCTCTCAAGTAGCTGGGATTATAGACATGCACTACCACACCGGCTAATTTTTGTATTTTTAGTACAGATGGGGTTTCGCCATGTTGGCCAGACTGGTCTTGAACTCCTGACCTCAAGTGATCTGCCTGCCTCGGCCTTCCAAAAAATGCTGGGATTACAGGAGTGTGCCACTGCACCCAGCCTGGATAACTTAGCTTTTCAAGGCTTACAGAAGTTGGTACCTTGTGTAAATAGGCTGGCGAGGTCTGGATGCCAGATGTTCTTCTGAGGTTGCTGTTTTCATAATTGCTGTATTCAAGTATGTCACCCAGTTGAGATGAAATGCCTAGAGCACAGTCGCAGAGTGGGACCAGCTGGGCTGAGGAGGGAATGAAGTAGAAACATCCATCGATGTTCAGGACCCTGAAGCAGCTGGAAAGCACAGGCGTTCAAATCACCAGAGGCATGGCTATATCTGCTCATATATGATGCTCACAGATGCATGTCCTGGGCATGGAAACAGAGCTCCCCAGACCATGGTTAACTCACCGCATGCATCTGGAGTTCAGAGTTCAGTCCACACCAAGGCGCAGTGGTTACTTTTATAAATAAACAAGTCACAATGAACATAGTTAAAAGATGTCAGTACTAGTGGCACTTGGCGACTCCAGCCCAGCTCCCATCACAAGCAACTGGCCACCAGGTCTGGACCCACGTCCTTTGCTCTTGGCCTACTGAGATCATTCAGTTTTGCTCATCTCCCGTGACCTGGAAACCCAAGGGAGCAGGCCGTGCAATTCATCCTGGAAGAGTAATACAAGAACAGCTGTTGTGCATGGAAAGATCTTGCAATGGGTCAAGTATTATATTTTTTGAGACAGGGCCTTGATCTGTCATCCGGGCTGGAGTGCGGTGGCACAATCACGGCTCACTGCAGTCTTGAACTTCTGGGCTGAAGCAATCCCTTCACCTCAGCCTCCTGGGTAATTGGGACTACAGGCACACACCACTCTACCTGGCTAATTTTTTGATTTTTGGTAAAGATGGTGTCTCCCTAAGTTGCTCGGGCTGGTCTTGAACTCCTTGGCTCAAGCAATTCCTCTGCCTCGACCTCCCAAAGTGCTGGGATACAGGTGTGAGCCACCGCGCCCGGCCTATTAATTAATTAATTAATTTATTTTTTGGGAGGGGGGATGGCGTCTTGCTTTGTCACCCAGACTGGAGTGCAGAGGCGCAATCTTGGCTCACTGCAAGCTCCGCCTCCTGGGTTCACGCCATTCTCCTGCCACAGCCTCCCGAGTAGCTGGGACTACTGGTGCCCGCCAGCACACCCGGCTAATTTTTTGTATTTTTAGTAGAGACGGGGTTTCACCGTGTTAGCCAGGGTGGTCTCGATCTTCTGACCTCGTGATCCTCCCGCCTCGGCCTCCCAAAGTTCTGGGATTACAGGCGTGAGCCACTGCGCCCGGCCTAATTTATTTTTTGAGACAGGGCCTTGATCTGTCGCCCAGGCTGGAGTGTGGTGGCACGATCATGGCTCATTGCAGTCTTGAGCTTCTGGGCTGAAGCGATCCTTTCACCTCAGCCTCCTGGGTAACTGGGACTACAGGCACGCACTACTCTACCTGGCTAATTTTTTGATTTTTGGTAGAGACTGGGTCTCCCTAAGCTGCCCAGGCTGGTCTTGAACTCCTGGGCTCAAGTGATTCTCCTGCCTTGGCTTCCCAAAGTGTTGGGATTACAGGCGTGAACCACCATACCAGTCTGGGTCAAGTATTTTATATTCATTAGTTGAGTTTCATAACAACCCTACAAAGTAGGCATCACTGTCCATTTTAAAACAAGTAAACAGAGGCCTAGGAAAGGCAACCACCCAAGGTCATACACCAAGGAAGAGGCAATGCTGGCATTCAGGCCCAGGCCAGTAAACCCAAAGCCCCATGCCCTTGACCCACCACAACAGTCTGGGATTCTGAGGGGCTTCAGTCAGGTGACACCTCAGACCTAAGCATCCTAAGGTCCCTAACTGTGGAGTATTTCATGAGAACAAGCCACTGGAGGGTAAGCACACATTGCTCTTCTCAAGGGAGGGTGTACTAAAGGAGCCTCATCTCAGTCCCCCTGTGCCATGGAGGCCACACTGGGTGAGCACCCTTGGGAGGGAGATGCATAGCCTGACTGGGGTGCTAATGGTCCCGGCACTGGGCTCTCCATGTAAACAGCTGTGTGAATCCAGGAGGCTCAAATCATGTGCCACAGCGCCACCTACTGGCCAGCGAACAACAACATCCTCCTGTTGTAAAGTTAGTAAACAATCATGTAAAAAATTTCAGGTCAGGCGCGGTAGCTCACGCCTGTAATCCCAGCACTTTGGGAGGCTGAGGTGGGCAGATCATGAGGTCAGGAGATCGAGACCATCCTGGCCAATATGGTGAAACCCCATGTCTACTAAAAATACAAAAAATTAGCTGGGCGTGGTGGCGTGTACTTGTAATCCCAGCTACTTGGGAGGCTGAGGCAGGAGAATCCCTTGAACCAGGGAGTCAGAGGTTGCAGTGAGCCAAGATCATGCCATTGCACTCCAGCCTGGTGACACGGCGCTCGGCCTAAAATCCTTAAATCTTAAAAACATTTTAATGATTTTGCCCTCCACTTTTTGCCCATTCATTTATCTGTTAAACACCAAACACAACGTGAGGTGTTGGGAGTTTGGGAGAATTCGAGTCCTTCTCAGAGAATTCGAGACTTACAGAACCAGCAGGGCAGAGAACCAAATAAAGACACACCAGAAACGGGTGTGTGAAGACCCCAAAGGGGGCCATTCTCTTGGGGAAGCAAAGGCTCCACTGTGGGATGATGGTGGTCTTGGGCTGAGCTTTTGAAAGACAGGAGGGGCCAGGCGCAGTGGCTCACGCCTGTAATCCCAGCACTTTGGGAGGCCAAGGCAGGTGGATCACTTGAGGTCAGGAGTTTGAGACCAGCCTGGCCAACATGGCGACACTCCGTCTCTACAAAAATACAAAAATTAGCTGGGCATGGTGGCGCGTGCCTGTAATCCCAGCTACTCTGGAGGCTGAGGCAGGAGAATCACTTGAACCTGGGAGTGGAGGTTGCAGTGAGCCGAGATCACACCACTGCACTCCAGCCTGGGCAACAAAGCAAGACTCCGTTTCAAAAAAAAAAAAAAAAAAAAATTAGTTGAACAGGTCAAGTCCAGCGACTAACGTGTGGATGGAAGCTGGTGTAGAAAGCGAGCACTGGCTGTTTCTCTCAGTGTCATTTCCACAGTGTGAGAACACGACTCCTCTTGCTTTCCACACAAACCTGAGCGCACACGTACCCGCGTGGAACGTCAGGTGGCAAGTTCCTCCTATGAGGTCAGCTGTAGGCAGATGGCCAGTCGGAACTTCAGGAGGAGTCGGGAAGCTTTCCCCCCCAGTCACTCCAGCGTTGCAGGGAGGGTAAGATAAACACCTGCATCTTCCCTACCCCCATTCACAAATCTTTCCTTACACTGTGGTAACACAGGGAGGCACACACACTCCTCTGCACACTGTTTACGCTTTCTGGTAGCAAACACGTTTAAGTCGCTACAGATGAAGAACATCTCACAAGCAGCCGTGCAAGAGTAGTTAAAATGTCTGTTTATTCATTTACAAACCTAGTAACGTCAGAAGAAACTCAGTGGAAACCTTGCTTGGTGGAGACAGTGCACAGTGTTAGTGCCACATTCACAGGGGCAGAAATGCTCGGTCACCCTGTGCACCCAAAGTCACCAAGGATCTCTAGAAAAGATCCCACTTACTGAAGTGCCTCGGATGTCTTCAGGGCCACATTGTAACTACACAGGAACAGAGAAGAGCTAAGCTGAACTGCACATTGACAAACACAAACGATGAGTCACAGGACTCTACAGTAATTACAATGGCATTTTTATACATCCCAAGTGTTGACCAGAGAGTAAAGTGTTAACTGAGCTGCTAGAAAACCCTTCACAGAAAGAGCTTTCTAGCCCACGCCCATTGTTCTGAGGAAGGAGAGGCTATGTGGGGTGGATGGGAACCCACACGCTGAGATGAACTTTTCTCTTTCTTCCAATCTGCACCCACCATCTGACATTCCGGAGTGTAAGGCACTAGAACCTGGCTTAGAGAATAGCAGGGCTCTAAGCTCCAGTTCTTGGTGTGCAAAGGAAATTCTGACATAGATCTTTTGAAAGAGATGCTAAAAAATCCTCCCTATCTCCTGTAATTTCTGTCTTTGACAGGAAAACAAGAAGGCAGAAGATGGTTTGAAAGGATAAAAACAGGTGCATCTAAGAATGAGAAAAATGGCCCATGAAGAAATGTGTAACTCTCCAAGAGATGCAGACACTCTGCTCGGAGAAGTCAAGAATCACAAACAACTCTTTATGTTTTATGGACAAAGAGGAGGCAAAGGCATACAAAAATACTCAGTTATCTTGAAAAAGAGTGTACTGGTAGTGATCAGGGCTGCAAAGACGAGCCCGGTATTGACAATGGGGGAGCCTTACAACTCAGCACCTTGAAGTGTTGGCCCGAAATGGTGGCGGGGAGGAGGTGCTGATGGAGACCCATGGGCACCACTTACTGTGTGTACACAGGGCCTGGGGCAAGCCTCACACATCTACCATTTCTTCCACTCAACTGTGCTTCTCCTGAATCCATGTGCCTGAAATGACATGTGCAAGGTGAACATTCTTTATACTGTGCTAATACTGCTTATATCAATGTTTATGATGGGTGTTTGGGGGATGGGGTGCAGCAGGAAAATTAGAGTGGCAGGAGGTTCTTATTTACTATTAACCACTGTTGACCAAACCTCTATCTTAGATTTTTTTTTTTTTTTTTGAGACAGAGTCTCACTCTGTTACCCAGGCTGGAGTGCAGTGGTGCAATCTTGGCTCACTGCAATCTCTGCCTCCTGGGTTCAAGCGATTCTCCCACCTTGCTGGGCCTCCCAAAGTGCTGGGATTACAGGAGTAAGCAAACACACCCGGCCAACCAAACCCCTATCTTAGATGTTAAAGACGACCCTGATTGACCACACTGGCGAAGCAAGAGAGACATAAAACTGACCCTTGTAGCTAACCCCTGAAAGCAAGCCAATGCAAATTCCTCCACCAGGCCAGTATTCTAGGGCCAATATGGAGACTGCGGGTCACAGAAGATTCCCTTCTATTTCAGGTTCTCAAAAAGTGGTGTAGACTCAGCCAAATGCCAGGAAATGTGTCCCTACACCAGAGGAGAAGCAGAGCCAGAAATGAAGGCTACAGGTTGAGTGCTTCCTGTCTTCAGCGAAGCACTCAACGCTCTTGGAAAGCTCCCATCATTCTTGCACCGCTACTGCCACCAAGACGGTGGCGAGGGAGGAGGCTAAATTTCAAATACATGCAAAGGCAGGTAATATACTGTGGAAGCTGGAGGTTTACTTTTCATACACTTTAGTTACTTTCTTGGAAACAGCAGTCCAGGAAAGCAAGCAAACAGGTAAAACTCCGGCTGTGCATGAGGAGACGATCCAGGGCCAGTGTGCCTCCCAGTGAGAACCAAACAGGAGTGGCCAGGCTCTACTCCTGGGGCCAGAGTGAAACCGGGGTTTAATCACCGGGCAATGTGGTCTCTGTGTCTCTGGCCTGAATGAGATCTCTTGAATGTGGGGGGACAGGGATCCCTGGAAGAGCATGAAAAATACAGTGGTCATTGTGCAGTTCTCTCTGCTGGAGCCTGTCCTGCCCTCATTTGAGGTGCTGTGACAGCAATGCAAGGTGAAAGGAGATCAAATGGCCCAGCTCAGCAGTTAGTGTTTGTCCCTTTTTGCTCCTCAGAGTTCCTGAATGAGAGATTTTCTGGCTTCAGTACCAACGATCACAGAAGGAACATCTTCCTGATGCAAGCTTAGATGGAAGTCAATGACCCTGGCAGTGCTAGGAAAAGAAGTCACACGTGGTCTGACAATGAAGGGGAGGTAACTAAGGGCATTTCAAGGGAGGGGAAGGCCCACAGAAAACTGGCAACCCTCAACCCTGGGTCTCCATCTGTTTATGCCAATACACGTTGTGTTCCTAGGTTCAGATGGCATACACCGACAAGAGAAGGCAGAGACCGTCCTCCATGGTGAGCACAAAATGCTATGACAGGTAATTGCAGAGAGAAAAAAGCACCCAACTCCATAAAGCCAAGTACAGTCACGTACAAGTACAGCCAAGTACAAGAGTCCAGAATCCTTCAAATCTCTAGGGAGAGAAGACAAACAGGCTCCCCAGAATGAGCTGAGACACAAGGCAAACCCTTGGAAATGACACACAGATGAGGACGCTGTGGTTGTCCCTCCTTATTCCTGCTGGATTTGCAGCCATGGCTCTGCATCTGGGGCATCTACTGGCCCCCCCCTGTTCACTTAAGAGGCCACTGCCTCTCAGGAGTCCAGAATGCTCCGATGTCTGACACTGATGGTCAGGAAGTTATGCTGCCCTCTCCTCTTGACCAGCTAAGAGGCTTGGACACTAGACAGAGGCAAAGCAATTATGCCAGAAGCAGGGGAGTCATTCACTGTCAGATCTGTCTGTTCAAAGAGCTCACATTAGACCAATTACAGAAAACCACCAGACTCACACAGCCTATATTTGAATGAACCAGGAGAGACTTCAAGGATGAACTCTGAAGTGCTACAAAGCTGTATGTTTGGGGCACTCAATAAACAAGTGATGTCCTAGAAGATCAGCACCCTGTCAGTCTTAGGAGTATGACCCTATTCACGGACAAGGTGTTTCAACTGACAGCCTGAGTGCTCACCCCTCCATCCTCCTCTCCTAGCAAGACAAGCACTCTGTTGCTCAGAGCGGGTAACAGACGTCATTTAACAGGAGGCCAGGGTTCTAGTTCAACAAACAGTACATAATTTTGGACACAGCATCAGATTTCCTGACTTCTTAGAAAGGACAGCTAATTAAAAACGTGTCAATCTCTAGTAATTAGTTGGAGATTAATAAGGGCAGAAGAGAATCCAAGTTTTTTTTTTTTTTTTTTTTTTGAGACAGAGTCTTGCTCAGTAGCCCAGGCTGGAGTGCAGTGGCGCGATCTCAACCTCGGCTTACTGCAAGCTCCGCCTCCCGGGTTCACACCATTCTCCTGCCTCAGCCTCCTGAGTAGCGGGGACTACAGGCGCCCGCCACGGCGCCCGGCTTATTTTTTGTATTCTTAGTAAGAGACGGGGTTTCACTGTGGTCTTGATCTCCTGACCTCGTGATCCGCCCGCCTCGGCCTCCCAAAGCGCTGGGATTACAAGCGTGAGCCACCGTGCCCGGCCGAGAATCCAAGTCTTAAAACTCTATGTGGGATACACTTCTGATGAAGCTTCTATTTGACTAATACACTGTGATGATGGCACTATTCAATTTTATTTTATTTTATTTTATTTATTTATTTATTTATTTTTTTTTTGAGACGGAGTCTTGCTCTGTCGCCGAGACTGGAGTGCAGTGGCCGGATCTCGGCTCACTGCAAGCTCCGCCTCCCGGGTTTACACCATTCTCCTGCCTCAGCCTCCCGAGTAGCTTAGACTACAGGCACCCGCCACCTCGCCTGGCTATTTTTTTGTATTTTTTACTAGAGACGGGGTTTCACCGGGTTAGCCAGGATGGTCTCGATCTCCTGACCTCGTGATCCGTCCGTCTCGGCCTCCCAAAGTGCTGGGATTACAGGCTTGAGCCACTGCGCCCAGCCGCACTATTCAATTTTAAACTACGGAGACAGCTTTTATTCTTTCGATTTGGATCCTGGTAAGTGGTGATACTGCTATGTAACAGTTAAAGCACAAATGTATTGCCAAAGTTAAGGTTGAAGAGTTATGTCTATGTGTAACTAAATTCTGGATTCAATTACAAATACATTTTCCTTTACAAAGACGGCTTTGGAAGGGTGCAAATGCTATGTGTCTGGAAGAGCAGGGGAGGCCTGCAGCTCCCAGTCAACCGTCTCCATCTTCGGAGGTAAGTCTGCTCCCTGCTGGTAATGCCTGCATCTGCCCAAGGGCCTGTTCCTCCTCTCCCAAGGCACTCACAGCTGCTGTTCACTGGTTGACCCTCCAGCCGGCAACACCTTTCCTCCTCTCCTCCTCTCTGCCTAGAGGCAGCATCTCTCGGCTAGTTAAGTACACACTTGCTCTAAGACAACTAGACCCCCAAACAGAATTCTCATCATATGCTCCTTTAATAAGCCAACTAGAACTGTCCAAAAAGGTGGACACTAAAGTCAGTAATCACTAGGAGTGGTCTAGTTGGGGAAATGGCAAGAAATGTCTAGAAGGAGCCAGCCTAAGTGGGTAAACAGAGATCCCAAAGAAACACCAGAGAAGGCAGACACCTGAGCATTTTAAGCTGCTCTAATGAAATGGAAGGATCTCCCTTAATACACTTATAGACCTAACAGAGCTAATGCTTCCAAGATACCAGTACACCAAAGGTTAGAGTTTAGCTAACCAAAATGTTTTATAGCAGTTTGTTCGCACTTAAAAAAAGTCAGATTAGGGCAGTTGATATGCAAGGGGAAAATGAAGTGTTGAGACTGGACTGCTGATATCTAAGTTTCACCTTGGGAAAACAGAGACACTGCCTGGAAGTGCAGGGCACTCCTGGGCACGCACGTCGTCTTCCAGAGGATATGGAAGGGTGGGTGGAGGGAAACAAAGAGCCTGGGGTGAAAGGAGGAAAAGCAGTCTCTAGCCTTATGCAACGTACACCTTGGACTCAGAACTCTCAGTGGACTAATGTGGGTCACCTCTGCGGAGCTCTGCTCTGTGCTGGAGAGTCAAACCCAGAGTTCTGGCAGCTCTCTGGAACTCAGCACGGCCCACAAGGTTGAAGGGCCCAGGACAACACACCTGATCCGTTTCCCTCCCTGTTCTAAAAGGAGAGAAACATGACTTGATGGGCCAACTGTGAAGGGGACAGGTGAGGCTGGCCTGACAAAGTCAGGCACACTGGGAGAAGACGAGGGAGGGACGGCTGAACTTTGGACAGCTGAGAGAAAAGCAGCAGCGTTTCCACAGCAGACCACTCAGCGTCACTGCGGCGGGGACATTCTCAGGTCAGACCCTTTTGACTAGGAAAAGCAACGCACAAGGCAACATGGTTTTTCCCTTTCAACCACTGTGGCTTACTTGCTTACTCAACTAAGAAAGAAAAAGCAACCTTATTATAGAGATCAGCAAGAGATGAAGAAAATTATAGGGAGGCTGCCCTGGCCCAAAGGTCTGCTAACAGCTTCTGCAGGGAGGATGAGGGTGGTGCCCGGTTAACTGCTTATCTCCACTACAGACCAGAGAACGTCTGTGCGATGCCTCTCATCAGTGAGGTAGATGATCATCCTCTTGCCAGAGGTATCGAGTGCCAGCCCACAGCACAGCGGAACAGGAGAACGAGCTGCCCCTCAGGGCTGCATCCGACACACGGCAACCCCAGCAGAATAAATAGGCTGCTCCAAGAAAATGCAACCCAAGGGAGAGGGACTCGTGCCCCGAGGCCTGCACCACCCCAGCTTGCTCTGCTTTGAGATGCAGAATTTGAAAGCAGCTGTCACCGTCACTCATGTCCACAGTGGAGCTTGTTTCTGTCCTGCCTGTCAGACACACCTCCTGCCACCATGAAAGCTGAGTGGGGGTGGGAAGGGAAAAAGAGTCCAGAGTGACTATTAGGAGGAGGAGGTGGAAGGACAAGGAAGGCTGCAGAGCAAAAATTTTTAAAGTAGGTCAAGTTCAAAATTATATCAAGGAGATGAGAGATGGGAGGCAAAAGCTCCATAAGAGGAACGGAGGCAGAAGGAAGAAAAGCTCCAAGGAGACGCCCGCTCCAGGACAAGATGATGGGGAGAAGGTGAGGTTGCCCTGGCATCACTTCCCATGTAAGTCACTCAGCTCCATGTCATCCTTTCGGCGCTTCTGGGTGAAGAGGGAGGCGACGGGGTAGAGCTTGGCCTTGGCCTGGAAGCGGTATCCCGCGATGTCAATCTCATACTCTCCCCGGTTGATGAAATCCGCTGTCACCACCTGCTCTTCCCCCGTGTCCTCGGAAAAGTTGTGAACAAAGCCCAGGCAAACGTGGCGCTCTAGGCTGTAGCTGTAGGCACTGCTGGTGGTCTTGCCAACGTACTGCCCATTCCGGTAAATGGGCTCTCCCCACCAAGGCCAAAGGTCTAGGTCTGTGTCATGGTCGTCCAGGATGAACATGGTGAGGCGTTTATACACTCCATTCTGCTTCTGCAGCAGGAGGGCATCACGACCAATGAAATCCATGCCCTAAGAAAGAAAGGAACTGCCAAGTCATCCAGCGACACTCAGACCCTCGGCACAGAAAGCAGCACCGTGGGAAGGGTCCCCTGGTGTCACAGCAATGACACAGAGAGGGGCACAGCCGCCTCCAACCACAACCCTGCCAGCTTTTGGGAAATGGTGTGATTTCCACCATGTGAAAAACTGCATGTGAAATATAAAAGACCGCTTGGTAATTTTTGTAACAACAGAGGTACACATTTTGTTGCCTATTTTATAAACATAAAGTCACAAGACCAGATAGAACAAAAACATTTAGGAAAAAAACTCACTCACTTAATAAAATACCCTATCAGTACAGTACTTTAGAAGAATGTTTTTTATATTGGCCAGTTGCGGCGGCTCACGCCTGTAACCCCAGCACTTTGGGAGGCCGAGGCGGGCGGATCTCCTGAGGTCAGGAGTTCAAGACCAGCCTGACCAACTTGGAGAAACCCCATCTCTACTGAAAAAAAAAAAAAAAATACAAAATTAGCTGGGCGTGGTGGCACATGCCTGAAATCCCAGCTACTTGGGAGGCTGAGGCAGGAGAATCACTTGAAGCCAGGAGGCAGAGGTTGCAGTGAGCCAAAAATCATGCCATTGCACTCCAGCCTGGGCAACAAGAATGAAGCTCTGTCTCAAGAAAAGAAGAAAAAAAAAATAGTGATTATCTTTAAATAGACAAAATGTGGGTGATTTTAGTTTCCTTTTTTATATTTCCCAAAATGAGTTATTACTTTTTTTTTTTTTTGGAGATGAAGCCTTGCTCTGTCACTCAGGTAGGAGTGTAGTGGCATGATCTCAGCTCACTGGACCCTCTTCCTCCCAGGTTCAGGCAATTCTCACGTCTCATCCTCCCGAGTAGCTGGGATTACAGGTGCCTACCACCACGCCCAGCTAATTTTTACTAGAGATGGGGTTTCACCATGTTGGCCAGGCTGGTCTCGAACTCGTGACCTCAGGTGATCTGCCCAAAACAAAAAAACCAAAAAAATTAGGCCGGGTGTGGTGTCTCACATCTGTAATCCCAGCACTTTGGGAGGCCAAGGAGGGCGGATCACCTGAGCTCAGCAGTTCGAGACCACCTTGGCCAATGTGGCAAAACTGTCTTTACCAAAATACAAAAAATTAGCTGGGTGTGGTGACACGTCTATGGTCCCAGCTACTTGGGAGGCTGAAGTGGGAGAATCACCTGAACATGTGAGGGCACTGCAGTGAGCCAACATTGCGCCCCTGCACTCCAACCTGGGTGACAGAAAAAGACCCCACCTCAAAATCAAAAACAAAAGAAAAAGCCCACAAAAATTAGGCAGCTGACCAAAAGATAACTAGTTTGTACAAATATTCGTGGCATATTAATGCATCACCATAATTAACTCGGAAGAGCCTCCCAGAAAGTACTAGAAATAAGTGGGTTTTTTTGTTTGTTGTTTTTTAATTTTAATACAGAGACGAGGTCTTGCTGTATTGCCCAGGCTGAGCTCAAGTGATCCTCCTGCCTTGGCCTCCCCAAAGTGCTAGGATTACAGTTGTGAGCCACTGCATCTGACCAAGCATTGTCTATTTATTATGTTTTCTTTTTTTTGAGACGGAGTCTTGCTTTATCACCCAGGCTGGAGTGCAGTGGTGCAATCTTGGCTCACTGCAACCTCCACCTGCTAGGTTCAGGTGATTCTCCTGCCTCAGCCTCCCGAGTAGCTGGAACTACAGGTGCCGACCACCACGCTGGCTATTTTTCGTATTTTTTTGTTTTGCTTTGTTTTGTTTTGTTTTTTTGCCTCCCAGGTTCACGCCATTCTCCTGCCTCAGCCTCCAAGTAACTTGGGACTACAGGCACCCGCCACCATGCCCAGCTAATTTTTTGTATTTTTAGTAGAGACGGGGTTTCACCATGTTAGCCAGGATGATCTCAATCTCCTGACCTAATGATCCACCTGCCCGCCTCGGCTTCCCAAAGTGTTGGGATTACAGGCATGAGCCACTGCACCCAGCCTACTTTTTGTATTTTTAGTAGAGACGGGTTTCACCATGTTGGCCAGGCTGGTCTTGAACTCCTGACCTCAGGTGATCCGCCTGCCTCAGCCTCCCAAAGTTCTGGGATTCAGGCATGAGCCACCATTATTATGTTTTCATTTGAAGATATTTTACCCTATAAAGTTTTCGTTCTCATTTACCTGATGCTAACATCAAGGCCTCAATCTTTTTCCTTTTTCCTCTCATATCAGTTCTTCTTCCTAGTTTAGTGCAGATTCACTACTCAGAAAGCTGAGTGAAAGTGGAGTCTGGATAAACACAGTACCTTTTCTAATTTCACCCGAGACTCTCGTCCACATTCCAGGGGTGTGGTGAGGTTATTTATATCCTGACCCCAGAAGGCAAAAAACTTCTCAATTCGGAGACTGCGAAGAGCATAATACCCAGCATTCCGGATTCCGTATTTCTGGCCAACACTCATCACTTCATTGTACACATGCAGGGCGTACTATAGGAAGAGATGGAAAGTTAGTAAGCAGTAGACCTTCAGAATTAAGCATGAAGCATGTCTGGAAGAGCTGATGGCTCACACTATTAACATGGACAAGAGAGGAGGCGTATAAAACTCCCAGGATGTCTCATCCTTGACACACTTAGGGCATAGTCCAGGAGTGATGAGCTGGGGTCACCCCAGCCTGGACTTAAGCTCCATGACAGCAGGATCCATGTCTTTTTACCTCTCTAAAATGTCTTGTGTGGTAATTCTAGCACACAGCAACTTTTACATAATAATTTGTAGAAGCACTCTCACCATTTGGTAAATGGCCAGTCTCATCATCATTTCTAAAACAGTCCACTAATGCTCCAGGGTCTTCATCTGATTCTGGCTTTGTTCTTTTGCTCCAGTTTCCCAACCACTGTCATGCCCTCATGTGCTGGCCCAAGCTGTGAGGCCCAGCTCTCACACGTAACTCGAGACGTGTGCACACATCGGATGACGGTGGGGGAGCCAGGAAGGCAGGGCTCGCCTGCTCGTGTGCCATAGCATTCAGGCTCTCAAGTTGCTCTTTTCTTGGTTTCAGAAACATGTACATTATCAGATCAGTGAACAGAAGGTTTTCCAAACTGAAGGCAAATATTAAATCCCTGTCTGAACATACACTGTTAAGTTTAAAGTCCAACAAAAATGAGACTACACTGTTTGCTTTAAAAACTATAAAATGAAATCGAAAGCAAGACACAGCAAAGAACCAGCTTCAGTAATACTGCAGTTCTTTATCCTAGCGCAGTATGTTTCTATAAACTGCACCACTGTAGCTGAACACGCATCTACCAAACAGACCACTACGATCAATTATTTTACTTCATTTTATTTCTTTTTTTTTTTTTAATTTTATTTTTGAGACAGAGTTTTGCTCTTCCGCCCAGGCTGGAGTGAAGTGGTGCTATCTTGGCTCAATGCAACTTCCACCTCCCGGGTTCAAGTGATTCTCCTGCCTCAGCCTCCTGAGTAGCTGAGATTATAGGCGCCTGCCACCACACCCGGCTACTTTTTGTATTTTTAGTAGAGACGAGGTTTCGCCATGTTGACCAGGCTGCTCTAGCACTCCTGACCTCAGGTGATTCGCCCACCTTTGCTTCCCAAAGTGCTGGAATTACAGGCATGAACCACTGTGCCCGGAAGACAACTTTAAATGTGGAAAAAAGGAATCCAAGCTATTGCATGCAACACTTGCCTGTGGTATGTGTATAAGGGAAACACCTGAATCAGCCAAGGTGGGTGCAGGAGACCCACAGAACGCGGCAGAATGAGGAGAAGACAGAGCTGGCGTCTCCGGGGAGCGTGGTGCTCTCCCACCTCAAGCTCAATCCCCGGTTCTTTAGCTAAGAGGATGGCCAAGGAAGAAAGAGGTAACCAGGTGACAAGCGTTGGGCCAGATCCAACTACATGACTAATGTTGGCAAAATCAAAGAGAAGAGTGGGTCTCCACCATTCACTCATTCTTCTCACAAAATACCAGAGATTTAGTGTGAACAAAACGAGAATCTGCCATGTGCCCCCATGTTTTGGAAGACCTTTTCTCAAAGAGACAAACATAAGCTTCCCGGACAAAAGCCAGCTTATAGAGAACCCAAGAGTGGCACAAATAATCTCTTTGACTCATGAAAAATCATAAGAAAGGGAACAGCTCAGGGAAATCAGAAAGCCGAAACCAAGGCCTCCAAGCAAGGATGAAGCTGCCAGAGCCACAGAGCCTCCCCTTCCTGATGAGGTGTGACCACAAGCATCTAGGTGACAACACCTGAACCACTGGGTGGCACTTCAGAATCAACATGTCTGCACAGGCCAACCATGGCAGCTGCATCTGTTTAAACTCTTCCCAAGTCTTGAACAATCTCTTCATCTTCATATTGTTGTAATACTTCTGAGTGTGGAAAAGCAGATGAAATTTCATGCGCTGATATATCTGTGCTTTAATAATTTAAAAAGGGTCGGGCACAGTGGCTCAAATAGTTAAAAGAGGGCTGGACACAGTGGCTCATGCCGGTAATCCCAACACTCTGGGAGGCTGAGATGAGAAGATCATTTGAGGCTAGAGTTAGAGTCCAGCCTGGGCAACATATGCAGACTCTCATTGCTATAAAAAAATAAAAAATAGGCCGGGTGCGGTGGCTCATGCCTGTAATCCTAGCACTTTGGGAGGCCAAGGCAGGCAGATCACGAGGTCAGGAGATCGAGACCATCCTGGCCAACACGGTGAAACCCTGTCTCTACTAAAAATACAAAAAATTAGCCAGGTGTGGTGGCGGGCGCCTGTAGTCCCAGCTACTCAGGAGGCTGAGGCAGGAGAATCGTTTGAACCTGGGAGGCAGAGCTTGCAGTGAGCCGAGATAGTGCCACTGCACTCCAGCCTGGGTGACAATGGGAGACTCTGTCTAAACAATAAATTTAAAAAACAAAATAGCTGGGCACCTGTGGTCCTACCTACTCAGGAAGCTGAGGTGGGAGGACTGCTTGAGCCCAGAGGTTGAAGGCTGCAGTCAGCTATGATCACGCCACTGCACTAAAAAATAGTAGTAAATAAGGTCGGGGCAGTGGCTCACACGTGTAATCTCAACACTTCGGGAGGCTGAGGCGAGAGGATCACTAGAGTCCAGGAATCTGAGACCAGCCTAGGCAACATAGCAAGACCCTGCCTCTACAAAAATAAAATTAAAAAATTAGCTGGGGATGTTGGTACATGCCTGTAGTCCCAGCTATTCAGGAGGCTGAGGCAGGAGGATCACTTCAGCCTGGGAGGTCAAGCTGCAATAAGCCAGTCTGGGTGATAGAGCAATGCCTTATCTCACCAAAAAAAAAAAAAAATTTAGGCCGGGCGCGGTGGCTCAAGCCTGTAATCCCAGCACTTTGGGAGGCCGAAACGGGTGGATCACGAGGTCAGGAGATCGAGACCATCCTGGCTAACACGGTGAAACCCCGTCTCTACTAAAAAAATACAAAAAAATAGCTGGGCGAGGTGGTGGGTGCCTGTAGTCCCAGCTACTCGGGAGGCTGAGGCAGGAGAATGGCGTGAACCCGGGAGGCGGAGCTTGCAGTGAGCTGAGATCCGGCCACCGCACTCCAGCCTGGGCGACAGAGCGAGACTCCGTCTCAAAAAAAACAAAAAACAAACAACAACAACAACAACAACAACAAAAAATTTAAGAGAAAACCTATCACTAAAAGTAATATGACTAACATCAAGAAGAAAACAAGCATGCCTACAATCATTGCTACCTGTCACAATAGGACAAAGGAAGGAAGGAAATTATGGGAAGAAAGACTGTGGGCCGGGCGTGGCAGCTCATGCCTGTAATCCCAGCACTTTGGGAGACCGAGGTGGGCGGATCATCTAAGGTTAGGAGTTCAAAACCAGCCTGGCCAACATGGTGAAACCCCGTCTCTACTAAAAATACAAAAATTAGTTGGGTGTGGTGGCACGCCCTGTAATCCCAGCTACTCGGGAGGCTGAGGCAGGAGAATCGCTTGAACCCGGTAGGCGGAGGTTGCGGTGAGCCTAGATTGCGCCACTGCACTCCAGCCTGGGGCATAAGAGTGAGACTTCATCTCAAAAAAAAAAAAAGAAAGAAAAGATTGTGGAAAAAGAAGAAACTATTACTATTTGCATATGATTAGACTGAACTCAGCCTGCAGACCTTTTTATAACAGCAAAAGACTAGAATTATCATAAATGTCTATTAGTATCGGAATGAATTAGAATGAATGGAATGAATGAATGAATGGAATGCTATGCCACTGTTAAAAAATAAAGAAAAGAAGAACAAGGAAGCTCTTTTTCTTTAGGTACCAACAAAGAAAGAGCTCTAAGACAAATTGTGAAGTGACGCTGGGTGCAGTGGCTCACGCCTGTAATCCCAGCACTTTGGGAGGCCGAGGTGTGTGGACCACTTGAGGTCAGGAATTGGAGATAAGCCTGGGCAACATGGTGAAGCCCCATCTCTACTAAAAATACAAAATTCAGCCAGACATGGTGGTGTGCACCTGTAATCTCAACTACCTGGGAGGCTGAGGTGGAAGAATCACTCGAACCTGGGAGGCAAAGGTTGCAGTGAACTGAAATTATGCCGCTATACTCCAGCCTAGGTGACAGAGTGAGACTCTGTCTCAATCAAAACAAAAAAAATTGTGAAGTGAAAAAAAAAAAAACCCAGGATGACGAATAGCAGTATGCTTCAATTTCTGTTTTTAAAAAGGGGGCTTGGCTGGGTATGGTGGCTCACACCTATAATCCCAGCACTTTGGGAGGACAAGGTGGGTGTATCACCTGAGGTCAGGAGTTTGAGACCAGCCTGAGTGACATGGCAAAATCCGTCTCTACAAAAAATTACAAAAATTAGCCAGGTATGGTGACACATGCCTACAGTCCCAGCTACTCGGGAGGCTGAGGTGGGAGGGTGGCTTGAGCCCAGGAGGTCGAGGCTGCAGTGAGCCATGGTCATGCCATTGCACTCCACCCTGGGCAACAGAGTGAGACTGTGTCTCAAAAAAAAAAAATTAATTATAAATTTGCTTGCAATATGCATACAAATCTCAAGTGCCATATTAAATACTAATATTATTGGTGACAGTTGGTGAGAACTGATCAGATGGCGCCAAAGACTTTTTAAATGTATTACCTATTCAAAAAAACTTATATAACTTAGTTAAAAATGGTCAAATCTCTTCAATGCAGCCTAACTCAGTTCCCAAGGCCCAATCAGATACAGCTCTCCAAACCTGCCAGTGCTGGTGAATGCCGGGAGTGCCGGCACCCCACAGTGGTCGTGGGAAGAAGGGAAGGGTGCCCTCTCACCTCTATGGGGATGTACAGCATGAATCCTGGCTCTCCTGTGTGCGTCATGCTCATCACCCGGATCCCATTTGCATAGCCCACGCTCATCTCCTGCAGGGACAAAGTTAGCAGTCAGCCTGGGCACTCACATTGCTTGTTAAGGTGGGACGCCTGGGGAAACCTTTCATTAGTGCTGCACCCTCTGCTTACTGTTGAGTGAAACAGACGCCAAGGCAAGAATTTCATCCTGAAAGCGGTGAATTTCCAGGTCCTGAGGCACTGAGAATGGAGCACTGCCTCTGTGACACCTCTACTTGCTACTGTTACCATCTCAGGAGTTTTAGCCAAGCTGATGGTGGAGAGTGGAGGGAAGTCTTTGACAAGCACAAAATATTCCTCTTTGCCAGGTCCTTGTGTTAGTTGGGGGTTGCAGGCACAATGAGGACAAGGCGAGTGTCTTCTCTGGGGGACTCAACAGACAAACCCCGGCCACCTGCCATACAAAAGATGATGCCGGATGCCCACAGACATGATTCATCTGCTATCCTGGGGTCAAAGACGGGCTTCTGATTCTCAGGACATGTTACATAGATGCTCAGTTCCCTAACAGCGGCCACTGATGCAATCACCGTTCCTATAAAGGAAAGTGGAAAGTCCCAGACAGCACTGAAGTGAAGTGCTTCCATAGGAGGCTGACAGGATGTGGCACTCGCCGGGTGTTGAGCATACGGGTCACTCTTCCAAGCAGGAGAGCGAACACTGGGAGGGGTCCACTGACAGCTAACAGTGGAGAGTTTTCTGTTGCTTCACTTTGCCTCGGAGAAGGAAAACTGTGAAACAATTTGTAGGTGTTACCAACTTTGGGTGAACTTCCAAGAGTTGCCAAGATGTCTGTCCGTTTGGCTGTCTCTAATCAGCTGCTTCCTGGGGAGGATTCTGTTGTCATTGCTTTCATTCGATTACAGTTTGTTTCACTCAGCTCTGGTAGCCACTTACAGGAAAGAAAATTATGTAAGAAGTTCAGAGATTCACCTACGCCATTTCTTCTCTGAAGATGCCACAGACACAGAAGTTACTCTGTGTACAGAAAAGAGACCACACCGCATGGAGAGAAGGGACCTAACTTCGACAGGCATTTTTGTGTGCGTCATAATCCTGTAACTTCAAATTTTGATCCAGTGTTACAGAAACCAAAAAGCATACAGACTTTACATTTAGAGAACCTAAATCCACTTCAAAGATATCCTAATGCTTATCAAATAAGGAAAGCTTGGAGTGTAAAAAATAAACAGATAAGGCCAGGCACAGTGGCTAACACCTGTAATCCCAGCACTTTGGGAGGCCTTGGTGGGCGGATCACCTGAGGTCAGGAGTTCGAGACCAGGATGGCCAACATGGTGAAACCCTGTCTCTACTAAAAATACAAAAAATTAGCAGGGCATAGTGGTGGGCACTTATAATCCCAGCTACTCAGGAGGCTGAAACAGGAGAATCGCCTGAACCCGGGAAGTGGAAGTTGCAGTGAGCCGAGATCTCACTATTGCATGCCAGCCTGTGCAACAAGAGTGAAACTGCCTCAAAATAATAACAACAAATAAATATACTCAGTCACTTCTTTGCTAATGAAGGGCAGCACATTTTTTTTTTGAGACAGAGTCTTGCTCTGTCACTTAACCTGGAGTGCAATGGCGCAATCTTGTGCAGTAACCTGGAGTGCAATGGCTGCAACATCTGCCTCCCAGGTTCAAGCCATTCTCCTGCCTCAGCCTCCCGAGTAGCTGGGACCACAGGCATGCACCACCACGCCTGGCTAATTTTTGTATTTTTGTATTTATTTATTTATTATTTATTTTTGAGGTAGAATCGCACTCAATATATTGCCCAGGCTGGAGTGCAATGGCACGATCTCGGCTCACTATAACCTCCGCCTCCCAGGTTCAAGTGATTCTCCTGCCTCAGCATCCCGAGTAGCTAGGATTACAGGCATGTACCGCCACATCCGACTAATTTTTGTATTTTTAGTAGAGATGGGGTTTTGCCAGTTGGCCAGGCTGGTCTTGAACTCCTGACTTCATGATCTGCCCAGCTCGGCCTCCCAGAGTGCTGGGATTACAGGCATGAGCCACTGCACCTGGCCAGCGCACTCTTTTATTTGAGACATAGTCTCACTCTGTCACCCAGGTGGAGTGCAGTGGCGTGTTCTCGGCTCACTGCAACCTCTGCCTCCCAGGTTCAAGTGATTCCCGAGCCTCGGCCTCACAAGTAGCCGGGATTATAGGCGTGTGTGACCACACCTGGCTAATTTTTGTATTTTTAACAGAGACAGGGTCTCACCATGTTGGCCAGGCTGGTCTCAAACCCCTGACCTTGGGTGATCCACCTGCCTTAGCCACCTAAAGTGCTGGGACATGAGCCACCTCACCCAGCCAAGACACACTTTGTGGGTGTTAACACCATAGTAAGAACAGGGAGCTGCCACCGCTATGAAAGACACATTCTCTACCCATTTAAAAACAGAACTTTATCAGCACTCACCTTGCAAAAGAGGCTTGGGAAGTGGTCTGGAGTCATAGGGGCATAGGACAACTCGGACAGCACATCCACAGCTCGAGGGCCAATCAGATTGAGGGCTAAATGGAAAAGAACAAGAGATGTCCAGCTCTCCTGCTGAACAGGTGAGCCAATCGGAAAGGTCTACTCTAGACTTGCTCAGCTATAGCCAGGCCTGGGTGCTGAGACCAGGAATATGTCCCTTTGCTTAGGCACTCCAAGGATGGATGCTAAGCACCCCGATTCTGGTGAATACACCTCTGCCAACAGGGCCTGTGAATGCAGCACGGCTGGCCATAACTGCCCACACAATTTCCGTTCTCCTCCTTTTCCCAGCACGGCTAAGTGATGGAAGAAGCCCCAACCCAAATCAGTACCCGGAGGAGATCTGCCCAACCAAAAACTGGACTTTAAATTCGGAGAAGCTAAATCCACTTCAAAGATATCCTAATGCTTACTACATAAGGAAAGCATTATTCCAGACACCGGTGTTTGGGATATCAGCTTGTGCTAATTACACATCATCCATCCTAAGCCAGGCTAGAACATGACTTTTATTCAGTAACATTCTGTAGTATGCCAATCCAGGAGCAGGACGTAAATCATATTCGCTACTACAAGGAATTGAGAATGAGGGCCTGGGAGAGCAAACGCTGGTGGGGCCAAGGGGCAAGATCAGTTAGGTAGGAGGGCGGGAGGGGTTAAGTTGAGACGGCTGAGGGTGAGAAAATCAGGGAACCAAGTCATCCTTAAAAATTAGGTACTCATGGCTGGGCGCGGTGGCTCACGCCTGTAATGCCAGCACTTTGGGAGGCCGAGATGGGGCGGATCACGAGGTCAGGAGATCAATACCATCCTGGCTAACACGGTGAAACCCCATCTCTACTAAAAATACAAAAAATTAGCCGGGCATGGTGGCGGGAGCCTGTAGTCCCAGCTACTTGGGAGGCTACGGCAGGAGAATGGGACGTGGAGCTTGCAGTGAGCCGAGACTGCGCCACTGCACTCCAGCCTGGGTGAGAGAGCAAGACACCGTCTCAAAAAAAAAAAAAAAAGAAAAATTAGGTACTTATTAAAAAAAAAAAAAAAACTTTAAAATTTACTCATTCATTCAAAAAATAAATGACCTCCTACATGCAAGCTGTAGGGGATATAGCAGTGAACAAAACAAATAGAAACCAAAGCACTAACTCATTTCACACTTCACCTACAAAAAGAGGAAGGGGCTGGGCATGGTGGCTCATGCCCGTAATCTGAGCACTTTAGGAGACCAAGGTGGGTGGATTATCTGAGGTCAGAAGTTCGTGACCAGCCTTACCAACATGGTGAAACCCATCTCTACCAAAAATATAAAAAATAACTCACGCCTGTAATCCCAGCACTTTGGGAGGCCGAGGTGGGTGGATCACGAGGTCAGGAGATTGAGACCATCCTGGCTAACATGGTGAAACCCCGTCTCTACTAAAAATACAAAAAATTAGCTGGGCGTGGTGGTGGGTGCCTGTAGTCCCAGCTACTTGGGAGGCTGAGGCAGGAGAATGGCGTGAAACTGGAAGGCAGAGCTTTCAGTGAGCCGAGATCACACCACTGCACTCCAGCCTGGGCGACAGAGCAACACTCTGCCTCAAAAAAAAAAAAAAAAAAAATTGGCATGGTGGCATGTGCCTGTAATCTCAGCTACTCAGGAGGCTGTGGTAGGAGAATCGCTTGAACCCAGGAGGTAGAGGTTGCAGTGAGGGGGGATCGCACCACTGCATTCCAGCCTGGGCAACAGAGTGAGACTCCATCTCAAAATAAACAAACAAATACATAAATAAATAAATATAATTAAAAATTAGTTGGGTGCAGTGGCATGTGCCTGTGGTTCCAGCTACTCTGGAGGCTGAGGTGGGAGGACTGCTTGAGCCCAGGAGGTTGACGCTGCAGTGAGTTACGATGGTGCAACTACATTCCAGCTTGGGCAACAGAGCAAGATCCAGTCTCAAAAAAAAAAAAAAAAAGTCTTAGAAATCTACTTTTTTTTTTTTTTGAGACAAAGTCTTGCTCTGTTGCCCAGGCTACAGTACAATGGCATGATCTCGGCTCACTGCAACCATCGCCTCCCAGACTCAAACGATTCTCCTGCCTCAGCCTTCCAAGTAGCTGGGACTATAGGCGTGCACCATGTCCAGCTAATTTTTGTATTTTTAGTAGAGATGGGGTTTCATCATGTTGGCCAGGCTGGTCTTGAACTCCCAACCTCATGATCCGCCCACCTTGGCCTCCCAAAGTGCTGGGATTACAGGTGTAAGCCACTGTGTCCAGCCTTCAATTTTCTTTTCTTTTTTTTTTTTTTGAGACGGAGTCTCACTTGTCTAGGATGGAGTGCAGTGGTGCGATCTGGGCTCACTGCAACCTCTGCCTCCCAGATTCAAGTGATTCTTCTGCTTCAGCCTCCCAAGTAGCCGGGACTATAGGCATGTGCCACCATGCCCAGCTAATTTTTGTATTTTTAGTAGAGATGGGGTTTCACCATATAGGCCAAGCTGGTCTTGAACTCCTGACCTAGTGATCTGCCCACCTCGGCCTCCAAAAGTGCTGGGATTACAGGCGTGAGCCACTGCGCCCTAGAGATCAATTTCCTATGACCAGAGAGCCTCTTCTATGCTAACTCTAATGTTCATTTTTGAGGGTCAAATGTAAAGAAGGCAAACGTGGAAGACATATCTGCATCTGCTGGCCTTTTCCACGTGGCAGAGCCTGAGGCCCCCGTACCTGTGTACTTCCAGGTGACGTCCTCCAGGAGCAGGTTGCTGTCTTTCGGCATGTGTTTCTTAAGCCAAGCCCAACAGTGGACCTGCTGGTCGGTTGGAGAGATCATGAAGAAACTGAAAAGTGAGACCCCAAAATGATCAAAAGCAGGCAGTAGAAAAAGGATCAAGAAACAATCAAATCTTATTTAGTTTCAAAGCAATGAGGCAAACACTAGGAAAAGATTTCTTAGCTTTCACAGAAGGCCAGTAGCACCATTCTAGGATATACCACCTAACAACAAAACAAAATTCTAGCTTCCTGTTAGTGCCAAGAAATTATACAGATTTATTAACGTAAGACATCGGCTAGGCACAGTGGCTCAGGCCTGTAATCCCAGCACTTTGGGAGGCCAAGGTGGGCGGATTGCTTGAGCTCAGGTGTTCAAGACCAGCCTGGGCAATGTGGCAAAATCCTATCTCTACAAAACACACAAAAATTGGCTGGGTGTGGTGGTGGTACCTGTGGTCCCAGCTACTTAGAAAGCTGAGGTGGGAGGATCACTTGAGCCCAGGAGGTGGAGGCTGCAGGGATCCATGATCGCATCACTGCACTCCAGCCTGGGTGACAAAGTCAGACCCTGTCTCCAAAAAAAAAAAAAAAAAAAGACAAGGCATCTTCTCCCACTAGGGTACATAATCTGGTGGGCTTTTTAAAATTTTCCTCCTGGTGATTTCTTTTTGTTTAGGACTGTTAATAAACTGGTTTTGATTTCATGTAATGATTCTTAGTCCCTGGGATTTATGGTTCCTGGAGAAGCTCCTGAAAGCCTCTGCTACAGTACCCCTAAGGAATCAATGTGTTGGAGGGAGCAGAGACGACGGCAGCTCATCTCACCTGCGCTTGTTCAGTCGTGCTATGCTGCAGTCATTTTCATACCCTCCACCCTCGTTGAGCATGCCGGTATGCACAATGTGGCCCACAGGCACATCCAGGTCATTGGAAAAGAGGTACTGTAGAACTTCTAATGCCTGATCCCCAGTGGACTGCAGGGTTAGGGAATGAAACAAGAGAGAGTGAGCGTGAGAGCACCTGGCTGGGCCACATGGCCCCACCAGCAATGAACCTCACTGAGAAAATTCAATCAGCCAATTCCCACGTGACAACATTTGCAGACGTACTCCACTGCAAGAAGCTCCAGGCAATGCTAGCTATTGATTCTTATGATAAACAGGCCTCTCTAGCAAATCAAAAATCTGAAACAAGGAGCTAAAATTTCAGAAAAATGTTACGATACAGATGAAACACAAAAATATACCAGAATTCTTAAGAAATCAGTTTTTTGTTTTTGTGTTATTTTTTAGATGGAGTCTCACTCTGTTGCCCAGGCTGAGTGCCGTGGCACAATCTCAGCTCACTGCAACTACCACCTCCTGGGTTCATGTGATTCTCCTGCCTCAGCCTCCCTACTAGCTGGGATTATAAGCGCCCGCCACCACGCCCGGCTTTTTCTTTCTTTTTTTTTTTTTTGAGACATTCGTTCTTATCACCCAGGCTGGAGTGCCACGGTGCAATCTCAGCTCACTGCAGCCTCCATCTCCTGGTTTCAAGCAATTCTCCTGCCTCAGCCTCCCAAGTAGCTGGGATTACAAGTGCCCGCCACCACGCCTGGCTAATTTTTTGTATTTTTGGTAGAGACGGTTTCGCCACGTTGGCCAGGCTGGTCTTGAACTCCTGATCTCAGGTGATCTGCCATCTTGGCCTCCCAAACTGCTGGGATTACAGGTGTGAGCCACCACTCCTGGCCTTAATTTTTGTATTTTTAGTAGAAACGGGCTTTCACCATCTTGGCCAGGCTGGTCTTGAACTCCTGACCTCAGGTGATCCATGCCCCCTTGGCCTCCCAAAGTGCTGGGAAAACAAGCATGAGCCACTGCACCCACTCAGGAATCAGTTTTGAAGAAGAAAAACAAAAGGCATTCAATAAATATGCAGTTTCCTAATCCATTATTTTGGTTCCCAAATACTTACTGTTATCTCAAACTTTGTGAAAGAGGACATGTCAATGACACACACAGCTTCCTTACAGCACTTGACTTCAGACTCCACGATGTCAAACCAATCTGGCTTATAGAAAGTCTTGCTCTGCTCCAATGCCAGGAGGTCTACGGAATGGAAAAATCACAAGGTGGAAAGAAAATGAGGGAACTTACACTGGAGAGTCTCCCTGTAGAGTTTAGTGTAGTCCAGGTGGTTCTTATTCTTCTGTAACACATTCTAGCTTATGCACTTGAAAATACATTTTATTAATTCCCAGTACAAAAAAAAAAAAAAAGAGCAAAAATGAGAATGTGACTTCTTACCCTTGTCAGGGGGAACAAAGTACTTTGGCCTCTCAAATCCGTGTTTCTCCATCCACCTGGCTCCCTGTGCATCCAGCCGGTCATAGAGAGGAGAGGTGCGTAACTGCCTACCGGTCTGGAAGTCCCAGCGGGGAACCTTCAGATCATACATCAAAGCTAGACAGACAAGAGTAGTCTATCAAAGCCCAAGACACAGATTCGCGACCTGAGTAGCCAATATCCACTAGACTCTGAAGTTGTTTCTATTCAAAAGAGCTTTCCAGGCTAACGTAGTCTTTTTTTTTTTTTTTTTTTTTGGAGATGGAGTTTTGCTCTTGTTGCCCAGACTGGAGTGCAGTGGCACAATCTCGGCTCACCGCAACCTCCGCCTCCTAGGTTTAAGCGATTCTCCAGCCTCAGCCTCCCAAGTAGATGGGATTACAGGCACGCGCCACCGTGCCAGGCTAATTTTTTGTATTTTTAGTAGAGATGGGGTTTCTCCATGTTGGTCAGGCTGGTCTCAAACTCCTGACCTCAGGTGATCTGCCTGCCCCGGCCTCCCGAGTGCTGGGATTACAAGTGTGAGCCACTGTGCCCAGCCCAATTTCCAGGCTAATGGAGTCTAATTTTCAAAATTACCGAGTGTATCAGGCATGCTCCAGAAGGAAAGACAATCCTGACAAGCTGCTGTCGTCCCTCCCTGGAGGTACAGAGCTACGTGTCACGGCATGACACGGCCTGTACTCACATTCAGCATTCCACATTAGTTGGGAGAAAAGTCAGGGTCCTAAACCTTGCTAAGCTTCATAGCAGAGATGAAGGTTACTAAGTGGGACACAGGTGGTAACAAAGTGCGAAAAAACAGCACTCAATTCTTCATCGTGCCTGTGTTAGGATCTCAGACCTATGATAGACATTTCCTCCCTGATAACTTACTCCTCAAGTGAAAGGTTATGTATTGTAGCTTGATTAGGTGGCTTTGAAATCTGAGAAGTTACATTCTATTGTACCAATGACATTATTCACACAACAAAGCTAGGGTCAGTATTCGTTTCTCTTAGGCCAGGTGCGGTGGCTCATGTCTGTAAACCCAGCACTTTGGGAGTTCAAGGAGGGCAGATCATGAGGTCAGGAGTTCGAGATCAGCCTGGCCAACATGGTGAAACCCTGTCTCTACTAAAAATACATAAATTAGCCAAGCATGGTGGCAGGCACCTGTAATACCAGCCACTCGGGAGGCTGAAGCAGGAGAATTGCTTGAACCCAGGAGGCAGAGGTTGCAGTGAGCCGAAATTGTGCCACTGCACTCCAGCCTGGGCAATAGAGCAAGACTGTCTCGGGCCGGGGTGGGGGGGAATTCATTTCCCTTAATGTCCAATCTTCAACAACAAGAAGTAAAAAAAGCCAGAAAAGTGTGATCTATGGTCCCTTGCAAAGAGAAGACCTGATCTCACAGCATTCCAAACAAAAGGTACATCAAGGCTGGGGGAGGTTGGGAGACAGAAGGAAGCCAGGTGGGGTTCTCTGCATGGTGACAATCTGTCCATATCCTGGTACTTTAGGTTCTACCTTCCCCATTTTCTTTTCTTTTTTTTTTTTTTTTTTTTTTGAGACAGAGTCTCACTCTATCGCCCAGGCTAGAGTGCAGTGGTACGATATTGGCTCACTGCAACCTCCGCCTCCCAGGTTCAAGTGATTGTCCTGCCTCAGCCTGCCAAGTAGCTGGGATCACAGGCACGTACCACCACACCTGGCTACATTTTTATATTTTTAGTAGAGACAGGGTTTCGCCATGTTGGTCAGGCTAGACTTCCTGACCTCAAGTGATCCGCCCACCTCGGCCTCCCAAAGTGCTGGGATTACAGGCATAAGCCACCGCGCCTGGCACCTTCCCCATTTTCTATGTGCCTGCCATTTCTATTTCACGAGAATTGGAGAAGGTTACCAAAAGTGTCATATCACCAAGGAGAAGCTCAAGCTCAATTATGATTTGCACAGGTTCCAAAGTAACGATGGGTGGGGAAATCTAGGCTTATAATAGTTCACCTCTAAAAAAAAAAAAAAACTTTCATTTTTTATTTTTTTGAGACAGGGTCTCAGTCCCACTGCCCAGACTGGAGTATGCAGTGGCGCCGTCATAGCTCACTACAGCCTCAACTTCCCCAGGTGATTCGCCTACCTCAGCCTCCCAAGTAGCTGGGATTTTAGGTGTGTGCCACTATGCACGGCTAATTTTTTGGTTTTGGTTTTAGTACAGACAGAGTTTTGCTACATTGTCTAGGCTGGTCTCAAACTCCTGACCTCAAGTGATCTGCCTCCCTCAGCATCCCCCAGTGCTGGGATTACAGGCATGAGCCACCACGCCCAGCCAAGTTCAACATTTTAACCAAAGTATTTGCTAAAATTAAAGAACCTTGGCAGTTAAACATATCGCTGTTAGGTCCTTCATCTCCATGGATGTACATCCTCTTCCCAGGCCAAAAGTGAGCACTCAGGCATTAAAGGCCATCCAGAGTCCTCACCATCAATGTTGTTCAACTACCAAACTAACAGTTTACTTGTAGCCAAGAATGGTGGTCACAGCCAACACAGAAACTTAGTGCTGAGCATAAGTATATCCAAAATATTTAGATATCATTTGGCAAAGTCTGAGAACAGCTCCTCAGTACAGGAAAATGAAATTACAACTTGAACCCACATGGTTTGGTTCAATTCCTGATACAAAAGCTTTCTAAGGGTTTCCTAGAAAATAAATCAGAGATCAAGGTAGAATAACAAATTAAGATGAAGTGGCCAATCCTTCAAAGTTGCAGCAGGGTGAGAACAAGGGAGTGAGAGCAGGAATGTATGTTTTGTATTTATATGAGAAGTGGTTCCCAATCTCGCTGCTGTAGGGTGGATTAACGATGAAAGTCACTCACGGAAGCCTGAAGCTCTGAGAATAACGTGGAAAAATTCTCTGACTTGGAAAGAAAAAACTAAGTGGGGAACGAGAAAGCATTTTCTCGAAAAAAAAAATGTGGGAGTGAGAAAGCATTCACTTCGACATAGGGGCTCTCAAGGCAAACTGGGAAGAATGCATTGCTTAGAATATTTAGGAAGCTGCTATGTACCATCTGTAAATCCTGTTCTACTTTCTTGTTCCCAGAAGGAAACAAGGTCCAATGCACTGAAGAAAACGTTATGTATATATCACCAGGTGCTTAAAGCCCCTTACTCAGGCCTGAAACAGTCAAATCAGATGCCCAACTCAAAGTGCTTGTTAAAGAACTGAGGAAAACTTTGCTCCTTCTGAATGACAACACGGACCACCGGGAAGATACCTGCAACTAGGAGCAACTGTGATAATGCTTCACTTACGCATGACTTCCATGACCCGGTGGCGCAGAAAGGTACGGCTGCTCTGGAGGGCTCCAAAACGTTTCAGGTCCAATTCCCAAACGTTTTCTGAGGGATAACCATGTACCATCCATTCAGCAAGGTACCTATATAGACAAAGGGCACTTGTTGGGGCTCAGGTCTGAGATTTGAGAAGATAAAACTAATTTCTACAAATTGAGAACTAATAGAATCAAAAGACCCTAAATTGCCACAGACCAGCTGAATGGTTTTGGGCAATTTCCTTAACTTTTCTGGAAGAAACGAACATGGGTCTGTGTACTGCTCTGAAAAGACTACTATGAGGATTTTACCCCAGATGATAAGATTCCCTAGGAGGTATTTAACATATAAGCTGGCCAGACACATTGGCTGATGCCTGTAATCCCACAACTTTGGGAGGCTAAAGCAGGGGATTGCTTGAAGTCAGGAGTTTGAGACCAACCTGGGCAACATAGTAAGACTCCGTCTCTACCAAAAAAAAAAAAAGTTTCAACATGAGCCAGGTGGCTCACGCCTGTAATCCCAGCACTCTGGGAGGCCAAGGCAGATGGATCACCTGAGGTCAGGAGTTCGAGACCAGCCTGACCAACGTGGAGAAACTCTGTCTCTACTAAAAATACAAAAATTAGCCAGGTGTGCTGGCACACGCCTGTAATCCCAGCTACTCGGGAGGCTAAGGCAGGAGAATAGCCTGAACCCAGGAAGTGGAGGTTGCAGTGAGCCGAGATCATGTCACTGCATTCCAGCCTGGGCGACAGAGGAAGACTCTGTCTAAAAAACAAACCGTGTATTACCTAGTTCAGATACCTACCTCAATCAACATACTTGTCTACCAAACTCAAATACACACTCAAATGACCAATATTTGTTACAACTGAAAAAGTATAAAAGAATATCCCACAGGATCTGTGGCTAACTCCAAAAGATGAGTTGCAAAAACATTTTGCCAGATGACATTTCTGGAACATGGGGAGTCTCCTATGCAGGGGACAACTCCAAAATTACATGTATCTTCTTATTAGTCTTAACATACTAGATTAAATATACCACACATCATATTAACAACAATTCTAGAAGGGAAGAGACCCAGCAAGCTGACTTATGTTCACAGCTGACTCTGAGGGAGAAAGACTTACTTTCCGGCTCCTCCACCAAATGAAAGGCCAGCAGAGTTCATTCCTGCCAGGACAAAGTAGCCCTGCACTGCAGGAGACTCGCCCATGATGCATCTCATGTCTGGTGTGAAGGTCTCTGGGCAATTCACCAACTTCATGATCTCCAGAGTCTCTAATTCTGGCATCCTCCTCAGAAGGGAACTCAACAGAGGCTCTGAGCAATAACAACAAACCCAAATAGAGTTCTCACCTTTAAGGAATTAAACCACTTTCAACCCCTCTACTTTTTTACTCCCTCTCCTTTCAGAAAATCTCTTGAAAAAAAATTTTTTTTTTGAGATGGAGTCTCACTCTGTCGCCCAGGTTGGAGTGCGGTGGCACGATCTCAGCTCACTGCAACCACTGCCTCCCAGGTTCAAGCGATTCTCCTGCCTCAGCCTGCCAAGTAGCTCGGATTACAGGCATGCACCACCATGCCTAGCTAATTTTTTGTATTTTTAGTAGAGACGGGGTTTCACCATGATGGCCAAGCTGGTTTCGAACTCCTGACCTCAAGTGATCTGCCCACCTCAGCCTCCCAAAGTGCTGGGATTATAGGCGTGAGCCACTGTGCCCAGCTGAAAGAGATTTTTTTAAAGACGAGCCAAGTGGCCATTTATCACAAAGAAGAAACCTTGGTAGAATTACAGGATACAGCTGCAAAATACTTGGTATAAAGACTAAGGAAAAAAGATACTGGTTAGAAAGGAAAGCAGCATAGAATAGCAAGTAAAATGTAGCTACAGATAATAATCTCGAAGGGATCAGTGTGAGTGGAAACGCTCTTAAATGGCAGCCACAGAGATTTTAATAAAAGGTAATGTTCTGAGCTGGGCATGGTGGCTCACGTCTGTAACCGTAGTACTTTGGGGCCAAGGTGGGCGGATCACTGTAGGTCAGGAGTTCAAGAGCAGTCTGGCCAAAATGGCGAAGCCCCGTTTCTACCAAAAATACAAAAATTAGCCAGTTGTGATGGTAGAAGCCTGTAATCCCAGCTACTTGGGAGGCTGAGGCAGGAGAATCGCTTGAATCTGAGAGGCGGAGGTTGAAGTGAGCCGAGATCGTGACACTGCACTCCAGCCTGGGTACCAGAGTGAAACTCCATCTCAAAAAGAAAAAAAAAAAGGCAATGTTCTGCATTGGAATAGCTGCAAAAGACAGACTTTCACCCTGCTTTAAAGGAAATCTACCATTAGGGCAAATTCAGTGGGATAGCAGGAAAAAGATGAAACAAGACCAGAACTGGATAATGGGTACATGGGGGCTCATCACACTACTCTCGCCGGGTTTATTTAGTAGAGACACAGTCTCTAGTCTCGCCATGTTGCCCAGGCTGGTCTTGACTTCCTGGGCTCCAGTGATCCTCCCATCTCGGCCTCCCAAAGTGATGGAATTACAGGTGTAAGCCACTGTGCCCAACTTCTATCCACTTTTAAAAGTTTGAAATTTCCCATAAAAATTCATTTTAAAAAAAAGCCCATCAAGGGTCAGAGGGAAATTCTTCATTAGAGACTCTTTCATATCTTTTTAATTTGGAACTCGGTAACTATATTATTATTATTATTCTTTTTCTTTCTTTTTTTTTTTTTTGAGACAGTCTCGCTCTGTCGCTCAGGCTGGAGTGCAGTGGCATAATCTTAGCTCACTGCAAGCTCCGCCTCCCAGGTTCATGTCATTCTCCTGCCTCAGCCTCCCAAGTAGCTGGGACTACAGGTGCCCACCACCACGCCCAGCTAACTTTTTCTATTTTTTAGTAGAGACAGGGTTTCACTGTGTCAGCCAGGATGGTCTCGATCTCCTGACCTCGTGAACGCCCGCCTTGGCCTCCCAAAGTGCTGGGATTACAGGCGTAAGCCACCGTGCCCAGCCAATTTTTTTTTTTTTTTTCAGATGGAGTCTTGCTCTGTCACCCAGGCTGGAGTGCCGTGGTGTGACCTCAGCTCACTACAGCCTCTGCCTCCTGGGTTCCAGTGCTTCTCCTGCTTCAGCCTCCCGGGTAGCTGGGGTTACAGGTGCACGCCATCACGCCCAGCTAATTTTTATATTTTTAGTAGAGATGGGGTTTCACCATGTTGGCCAGGCTGGTCTCAAACTCCTGACCTCAGGCGATTCACCCGCCTCAGCCTCCCAAAGTGCCGGGATTACAGGCCTTAAAGGCCAGGTGCAGTGGCTCATGCCTGTAATTCCAGCACTTTGAGAGGCTGAGGCAGGTGGATCACTTGAGGTCAGGAGTTCAAGACCACCCTGGCCAAATAGTGAAACCCCATCTCTACTAAAAACACAAAAATTGGCTCTGTGTTATGGTGTGTGCCTGTAATTCCAGCTACCCAGGAGGCTGAGGCAGGAGAATTACTTGAACCCAGGAGGCGGAGCAGCAGTGAGCTGTGATTGCACCACTGTACTCCAGCCAGGGCAACAGAGTGACACTCCATCTCAAAATGAATGAATGAATAAATAAATAAATAAATAAAATTATTTTGAAATTTAATAAAACACTACACTAACAAAACAATTCTGAAAAACAAAACAAACCAAAAATAATTCTGGTTTTCTTGTTTGTTTGTTTGTTTTTTGAGACGGAGTCTTCGCCCAGGCTAGATCGTGCAGTGGCGCGATCTAGGCTCACTGCAAGCTCTACCTCCTGGGTTCACGCCATTCTCCTGCCTCAGCCTCCCGAGTAGCTGGGACTACAGGCGCCCGCCACCACGCCCAGCTAATTTTTTGTATTTTTAGTAGAGATGGGGTTTCACTGTGTTAGCCAGGATGGTCTCGATCTCCTGACCTCATGACACACCCGCCTCGGCCTCCCAAAGTGCTGGGATTACAGGCATGAGCCACCGCACCCAACCAATATTTCTGTTTTCTAAAGAGCACTTCAATTTTATATGAAGTCCTACTGAAAGCAGTCTCCTCCTAAAACCTAAAATCTCAGCAATGATTTTAGATGAATAAAGAATAAGCAGGGGTCAGGCACGGTGGCTCATGCCTGTAATCTCAGCACTTTAGAAGGCCGAAGTGGGCAGATTTCCTGAGGTCAGGAGTTCGAGGCCAGCCTAACCAACATGGAGAAACCCCATCTCTACTAAAAATACAAAATTAGTCAGGCATGGTAGCACATGCCTGTAATCCCAGCTAATCAAGAGGCTGAGGCAGGAGAATCACTTGAACCCGGGAGGCAGAGGTTGTGGTGAGCCAAGATCATACCATTGCACTCCAGCCTTGGCAACAAGAGTGAAACTCCATCTCAAAAAAATAAAATAAAATAAAAAAGAAGAGCTGGGCACAGTGGATCACGCCTGTAATCCCAGCACTGTGGGAAACCAAGGCAGGCAGATCACTTGAGGCCACGATTTCAAGACCAGCCTGGCCAACACGGTAAAACCCTGTCTTTACTGAAAATACATAAATTAGCTAGACATGTTGGTGCACGCCTGTAATCCCAGCTACCCAAGAGGCTGAGGCATGAGAATCACTTGAACCTAGGAGGTGGAGGTTGGACTGAGTCAAGATTGTGCCACTGCACTCCAGTCTGGGCGAGAGAGCAAGACTTTTATTTCAAAAAAAAAAAAAAAAAAAAAAAAAAAAAAAAAAAAAAAAAAAAAAAAAAAAAAAAAGGCCAGGGGCAGTGGCTCAAGCCTGTAATCCCAGCACTTTGTGAGGCCGAGGCAGGTGGATCACCTGAGGTCAGGAGTTCAAGACCAGCCTGATCGACATGGCAAAACCCATCTCTACTAAAAACACAAAAATTAATTGGGCATGGTGGCAGGTGCTTGTAGTCCCACCTACTCTGAAGACTGGGGCAGGAGAATCACTTGAACCGGGGAGGCAGAGGTTGCAGTGAGCCAAGATCGCGTCACTGCACTCCAACCTGGGCAACAGAGCAAGACTCCATCTCAGGGAAAAACAAAACAAAACAAAACAAAAAAAACAGCTGGATATGATGGCTCATGCCCGTAATCCCAGCACTTTGGGAAGCTGAGGCAGGAGGACTGACTGAGCCCAAGAGTTCGAGACCAGCCTGGGTAACACAGCAACACCCCATCTCAACAAAAAATTTAAAAATTGGCCAGGCGCGGTGGCTCAAGCCTGTAATCCCAGCACTTTGGGAGGCCGAGGCCGGCGGATCACAAGGTCAGGAGATCGAGACCACAGTGAAACCCCGTCTCTACTAAAAATACAAAAAATTAGCCGGGCGCGGTGGCGGGCGCCTGTAGTCCCAGCTACTCAGGAGGCTGAGGCAGGAGAATGGCGGGAACCCGGGAGGTGGAGCTTGCAGTGAGCCGAGATCGCGCCACTGCACTCCAGCCTGGGCAACAGCATGAGACTCCGTCTCAAAAAAAAAAAAAAAAAAAAAAAAAAAAAAATTTAAAATTAGCTGGGCGTGGTGGCAAGCACCTGTAGTCCCAGCTACTTGGGAGGCTGATGTGGCAGCATCGCTTGAGCTCACGAATTTGAGGTTACAGTGAGCTATGATCATCACATGGCACTCCAGCCTAGATGACAGGGCAAGACCCCATCTCACACACACACAAAATGGTAGAGATGACTACACACACACAAAGGGCTAGGCACAGTGGCTCATGTCTATAATCTTAGCACTTTGGGAGGCCAAGGTGAAAGGATCACTTGAGCCTCGGAGTTCGAGATCAGCCTGGGCAACATGGCAAGACCATGTTCTTTTTTTTCTACCAAAAAGAAAAAAATATAAGCTGAGACCAGGAGTTTCGGGCTACAGTGAGCTATAATTGTGCAACTGCACTCCAGTCTGAGCCACAGAGCAAGGCTCTGTCTCAAGAAATAAAAAAAAAAAGTAAAACTAAGAATCAAATAAAATTTAAAAATAAGCCAAATGTCCAGTAAAAAGATTTTAGCCCCCTGAATCTCCTACCTAGTAACTTCATCCTTAGACCAGGCAAACTCACCGTCTGTAACCACTGTTGTACCCCATGGTGTTGTTATAATCATTAAACAAGCAACTATTCTTGAAAATACTTTGATAAATATAACACCTTAGACAAATATAAGGCAGTACTGTTATAATGTAGTTCACATACCAAAGTGATCCCAGTCTTCCTGTAGATTCTGAATCTCCAGCTGGTTCTTGCCCTCAGTGAAAATTGGTTTCGGGTTCTTCTCAAAGCCCCCAGACAAGATGCCACCCTGCCAGTTCCGAATATAAATTCTTCCATCAGCATCCACAATAGCTGAGGAGGAGAAATGACATGGAGTGGGGAGTGGAAGAAAAAACAAGGGCTTAGAGGCAAGTTAGCTTTCTAAATAGACAGAAAAACCAAACAAAAACACCCATCCCATTAATGGCTTTATTAATGAAAGAACATTCAATGAACACAGGCATTCATTAGCTTTAAAATACCTTTTGAGGTCATGGGGGAAGATCCTCCCATTTAGACTTTCAGTGGAGACTGTTTCTCTGATTATCCCTTTCCTAGAAGCTTTGACTAGACCCCACAAGCAAACCACGTAACTCCCATTGTGCCAAGCGAAAGTTTAACAGAAAGGGGGATTGCAGAGCCCATTCTAGGCATGAAGACCATCAAAAGGATGTGAGAACCCTCTCCTACAGTGCTTGGAACCACTAACTCACCTAAGTCTATCGTTTACCTATGACGTTTCTACAATCTATAGCATTCAAGTCAAAAAGTCAACATGACAGTCCAAATATTCTCAATGATCTCTGTTTAGGACTAAAATTAGCTTGCAAAATGAAAACAAAAACAAAAAAATGTATTAATGGAAATTTTGGCCATCCTTTCATAAAGAGTTAATAAAGAAAAGTCAGAATTGGGTCCACCTCCCTGTAACATGCTCTAGAAATGAAAGACTCTTTCAGACACAGTCTGTCCTTAGCAGAAAGTTTTCCTTTTCAAAGGACAGGATACTGGCAAAGAAACAAGATTTTTTTAAAAAGTGCAAGTCCTCACTTGGTGTGCTGCTCTGCAGAGGGGTCTCCAAGGGGCGAGTCAGGAGGTAGAAGTGTTCGCAGGCATGTAGCGGGATACTAACCGGCTCCTCGTTGGACAGACCCAGCTCGTATGCCCACTACAAATGGACAGGTTTTGTAGGTGGGAAGAGGAACAGAAATACAAATGAGCAAGTTCAGCCTCTTGAGATTAATTCCAAGTGGCTTATGTGTGCTCTTGCTACAGTGTCAAGTGTGGGAAGTTAGCCTGCTTTAGTTCAATTATTTGGATCGGGAGCAATACTACATTTTTTCAGCCGTAGAAATTACTTTGAGATCAAAGGAAGAGATATTTACCAGCTAGTCAAAGGAGCTCATGGGAACCAAAGGAGGTCCTTTCGATAAAATGCCTGGGTTCAACTACAAACCCCAAAGAGCAATCACTAAATGAACTTCACATGGCGAAAGTATTTCTTAGTTCACTTCAGGATCATAGCGTGGAAGGCAAGAGCCAATCTGCTCTGAAAGAAGCAGTGTCCTGGAAATTAGTGTCCACATTCCTGACACAATAAAATAGCCTAATAAGTTATTTGCTAGGTTGTAGAATGAAATGTAACACCAAGACCCAGCGCCAAGGATTCACGTCAATGCCTGACCATTTGCTGGCCTTCCTGACCAGGATAGCACCTGTCAGCCCAGTATGGAGGAAGGACAAGGTCACACATGCTTCTATTTCGGACTAAGTATAGGTTTCTGATTTAGAATACCCTACAAGAAACAGTGTAGTTACTGATATCTGTATAATCAATCACAATACTAATCTTACTTCTCTACACCAAAAAAATCTTGGAGACAAACGTTAAATAAGAAAAGCAGAGCCCAGTGTTGGTGCTGACCTACCTGGCCGGCACAGTTGACAAAATACTGGCATTCAATCTGTCCTTTATCTGTCTCCACTCCAGTAACTTGACCTTTTTTGACCATTACATGAAGAACAGATGTCCGGTCATAGATCTGAACACCTGTTCCAAGGTAAAGAAAGAGTTGGTACTTCATCTGATGTACCAGAATGTAGACATCTGCAGCAGGTTCTCCACCCAAAAGAAACACTGACAAAGTCAAGTCAATGCTTTATTACTTTATTTTGTTTTTGAGACGGAATCTTGCTCTGTTGTTACGGATGGAATGTAGTGGTGCAATCTTGGCTTGCTCTCTGCCTCCTGGATTCAAGCGATTCTCCTGCCTCAGCCTCTCAAGTAGCTGGGAATACAGGCGTGCACCACCATGCCCGGCTAATTTTTGTATTTTTAATAGAGATGGGGTTTTACCATGTTGGTCAGGCTGGTCTTGAACTCCTGGCCACAGGTGATCCACCTGCCTTGGCCTCCCAAAGTGCTGGGATTACAGGCATGAGACACCACACCCGGCTCAATGCTTTAATTAAAAAAAAAAAACCTGGAATCATATCCTGAGACTACGTAAATGGGCCTTGCTCAAGATTGAAAATAGCAAGTCAGTTTAAAAACAGACTTTGGAACGCAATAATTAAATTCCAGGAATCACAGACTATGGAGCAGAGAGGAGAGGATGTAAAAAAGGCGCCTTAAGTGGTAATCTGCCCATATCATTGATATGATACCCTGGACACTAGTAAGTTTTTCTCTCATTCAGTGCAACACGGGCTCATGATTTCAGGTGTGGATTAAACTTCCAAGGTATGTTTTCACCTTGAACTTCTCAAGTCCTGTAGGGGAAAAATATTACCTTAAGTCCAAAAGGTATTAATCAGCCGGGCCCAGTGGCTCATGCCTGTAATCCCAGAACTTAGGGAGGCCGAGGTGGGTGGATCATCTGAGGTCAGGAGTTCAAGACTAGCCTGGCCAACATGGCGAAACCCCGTCTCTACTAAAAATACACAAAATAATTAGCCGGGTGTAGTGCCGCACACCTTAGTCCCACCTACTCGGGAGGCTGAAGCAGGAGGATCACATGAACCCAGGAGGTGAAGGCTGCAGTGAGCCAAGATTGTGTCATTGCACTCCAGCCTGGGAGAAAAGAGAGAAGCTCTGTCTCCAAAAAAGGGGCATTAATTAGCACTAAAAGCAGTTCTTTGGAACTTAAAAAATGGGGCCCTGAGGGAAAACACTTATTAACAGATAAACAAAATTATAAGACACAGTGTTCAAAAAATGGAAGCTGAGTACCCCAAAGAGGATAATCTTTCCAAACTTGAGTTGGTGTAACTGCCTACTGTGAGACACTTCCTTAGGTAACATCTTCCCTGCTAATCCATCTTAAGAAAATGCAAAAACCTGCTCACCATTTTGGGAGGCTGCACTTGCCAGGGCAAGAGCCACGTCAGCAGAGGACACCACTGCATCCTCGGGAACATGCATGGCCCCCACCAGGTCGTGCACGTTGAGGAGATGGTGAAGTTCGGCCACTTTCTTGGGGGAGATGATCTCAGAAGGGATACCTATGACACTGCCACAGAACACAAGGGACAATGACATTCACAGGCTCTTTGGCAGAGGCCAGTGTGGTCAAGTCAGGCCACGCTTCTAGACTCTTACGTACTTCAGCCTTGAGTTGATGCGCTTCAGGGAGATCAGTCGGTCCTGAGTTTGGGCCAGAAAGATTGAGCCTGTCCTTGTGTAACCTATAAGAAAAATGAGCCCAAATGAGACAGATCAGACCAAATGTAGGATGGGAGAGTAGAAAATGCACTAGATTATAGCTTAGAAGACCTGTGATGAATCCTGGGACTGCCACTCAATATCCTTGGGCAGGTAAATCAGCTTCTCTGAGCTTCTTCGGAAAATTTTAAGAACTTCAGATGCGCTAAGGCTCCATGCCCTAACCAAACATTCTCAGCTAACAGTTTTGTGAGGTTGTGAGGATCAAATGAGATTCTAGGCCAGGTGCAGTGGCTCACGCTTGTAATCCCAGCACTTTGGGAGGTTGAGGGGGGCGGATCACCTGAGGTCAGTAGTTTGAGACCAGCCTGGCCAGCATGGTGAAACCCTGTCCCTACTAAAAATATAAAAATTAGCTGGGTGTGGTGGTGCATGCCTGTAATCCCAGCTACTGGGGAGGCTGAGGCAGGAGACTTGTTTGAACCCAGCAGGTGGAGGTTGCAGTGGGTCAGAATTGCACCACTGCATTCTACCCTGGGCGACACAGCAAGATTCTATCTTTAAAAAAAAAAAAAAAAAGAAGAAGATTTTGGGCAGGGATTCGACCTTGAACCCATCCCTATTCTTCCTTCCTTTTAGGAAATTCACCCTTTCTCCTCCTAGTCTTGGGGGGGTGTAACCCTTGGCAAAGGCCACTCACAATAACATCAGCTACCAAGGGTCAGATTCTCCCTTCTCCTTCCCCAGTATAGCCAAACAGTGGGCACGTGACCTAAGCTTATCCAATCAGACCCTCCTGAAATAGTCAGTCTTGAGCACATAGGTGAATGGCTAGAGGTCACCATCTCAAGGGCAGCATCGTCCAGACCAGGCTGCTCCTGTTCTGGCTGAGGGACTGCCTGCGGTGCAGTCCCCACATCCTGGCTTTCAGATTGCCTTCAGCTGGCAGCCTCCTACCAACTCCACAGGCCCCAAGCTCCTCCCAACAAGCTCTAAGTTGGCCAGAGTCAATTCCTGTTGTTTGTAATCAACACACCTGATATAGAACCATAATTACACTTAGGCCAATGACAATCCTCCTAAAATGCAATGACTCTTAATTCTCATGAAGAAAAAGTTGAAGCAATTTGGTATCTTATTTTCAAAAGAAGTACAGTCAGGATAATTTACATATTTTCTTAATTTATTAGTAGAGACGAGGTTTCACCGTCTTAGCCAGGATGGTCTCGATCTCCTGACCTCATGATCCGCCCACCTCGGCCTCCCAAAGTGCTGGGATTACAGGTGTAAGTCACCACGCCTGGCCAACCCAAGTCTTAATTACCAAAGCAGCAGGCAAACCTGGCAGAGGACAAGATACAGAACTGAATATAACAGTCTCAGGGACAGGCAAAACAGTAAACGGAAGACACTTGCTTACCTGTTTGGATCCCTGTTTCTTGCTCTAACTGATGGTAGAGTTTGTTTGAGTAGTCTGCCATCTTCTGCTCAATGGTCAAGTGCCTGGCAGTGCTCAGGATGCCAGCACAGAACCTTGTAGAGCCAGCAGCCAGCCTGCAGGATGGATGCAAAATGCTATTAGGTACATTGACGTATCTGTGAATACAAGGTCAAAGTTTCTCATTATAGTACTGTTTCTAATACCAAAAGATGGAAACAAGGTGGACACAGTGGCTCACACTTACAATCCCAGCACTTTGGGAGGCCAAAGTAGGAGGACTGAGGACTGCTTGAGGACAGGGGTTTAAGATCAGCCTGGTCAACAAAGGGAGACCCCATCTCTACCACCAACAACAAAATTAGCCAGGCATGGTAGCACATGCCTGCAGTCCCAGCTACTTGGAAGGCTAAGGCCAGAGGAGCCCTTGAGTTCAGAAGGTAGAGGCTGCAGTGAGGTATGATCACACCACTGCACTCCAGCTTGGGCAACAAGGTGAGAAAAATGTTCACTGACATGGGACAGATTTAAAATTTTGGATAGTTTAGGCCAGGCACAGTGGCTCATGCCTGTAATCCCAGCAATTTGAGGGGCTGAGGTAGGAGGATCACTTGAGGACAGGAGTTGAAGACTGGCCTGGGCAACATAACCAGACCGTGTCTCTACCAAAAAAATAAAAAATAAATAAAAATAAAGGCCAGGTGCGGTGGCTCACGCCTGTAATTCCAGCACTTTGGGATGCCGAGGTGGGTGGATCACAAGGTCAGGAGATTGAGATCATCTTGGCTAACATGGTAAAACCCTGTCTCTACAAAAAATACAAAAAATTAGCTGGGCATGGTGGCGGGCGCCTATAGTTCCAGCTACTCGGAAGGCTGAGGCAGGAGAATGACGTGAACCCGGGAGGTGGAGCTTGCAGTGAGTCAAGACTGTGCCACTGCGCTCCAGCCTGGGCGACAGAGTGAGACTCCACCTCAAAAAAAATGAATAAATAAAAGTTTAAAAAATAATAAATAAAAGTTAGCCAGGCTACCTGGGAGGCTGTGGCAGGAAGATCCTTTGATCCCAAAAGTTTGCACCTGAATTGAGCTAGGATTGTGCCACTGCACTTCGGACTAAGCAACAGAGCAAGACTCCATCTCTAAAATAAAATAAAATTTTGGAATTCATCTGTACAATGGAATACTATGCAGCTACAAAAAAAAAGAATGAAAAAGTCTTTATGTACCAACATGGAACAATCATAATGAAAAAGCAAGGCGAAGAACAGTGTGTGAGGTATGCTCCCACTTATATAAAAAAGGGAAAAAATATAATAAATGAATACCCATACACACACACACAAACCTACCAACACATAATTGCTTATAGAAGTAGAGAATGTAACTAGAACTTAACTTCCCTCCAGAGAGGAAAGCTTTTTGTTAGAAGTGAAGATTGAGGGCTGGGTGCAGTGGCTCACGCCTGTAATCCCAGCACTTTGGGAGGCCGAGACAGGCAGATCACTTGAGGTCAGGAGTTCGAGACCAGTCTGGCCAACATGGCGACACCCCCTCTCTACTAAAAATACAAAAATTAGCCGGGCATGGTGGCGGGCACCTGTAATCCCAGCTATTCAGAAGGCTGAGGCAGGAGGATCGCCTGAACACAGGAGGCGGAGGTTTCAGTAAGCTGAGGCTGCACCACTGCGCTACAGCCTGGGTGACAGAGCAAGATTCCGTCTCAAAAAAAAAAAAAAAAGAAGATTGAAAAGGAGTCTTTTTCCTGTACACTCTTTCACATATTTTCTTTCTTTCTTTCTTTTTCTTTTTATTTTTTGAGATGCTTTTGCGTTTTGTTATTGTCACCCAGGCTGGAGTGCAGTGGCATAATCTTGGCTTACTGCAACCTCTGCCTCCTGGGTTCAAGCTATTCTCCTGCCTCAGCCTCCCGAGTAGCTGGGATTACAGGTACCCGCCATCATGCCCAGCTAATTTTTTTGTTGTTGTTGTTTTAAGAGATGGAGTTTCGCTCTTGTCGCCCAGCCTGGAGTGCAATGGCATGATCTCGGCTCACCACAACCTCCACCTCCCAGGTTCAAGCGATTCTCCTGCCTCAGTCCCCCAAGTAGCCAGGATTACAGGCGTGCACCACCATACCTGGCTAAATGTGTATTTTTAGTAGAGATGGGGTTTTGCCACGTCGGCCAGGCTGGTTTCGAATTCCTGACCTCAGATGATCCACCTGCCTCAGCCTCCCAAAGTGCTGGGATTACAGGCATGAGCCACCGCACCCAGCCTCTTTTACATATTTTCAATTTTGAATCATATAAATACATTGCCTACTCAAAAGTACATAAACTTTACATTGAAAAAAAGTTCTCTAATTTGTGGTAGCTCCCAAAGACCCAGTTTTGCAAGGGACCCATATGTCAAGAAAGCAGGTGGGGGTTCTAAGGTCATTTTCCCCAAATTATTTATCACTCAGTAAATAAACTACCATCTGTGTCAGCATGCCTGTCACTGGAGTTTACTGTATTTACTCTAATAATGATATTTTCCCCGTAAGATTGTCAGCTCCCTTAAGAGACGTTTCTATCATCTTTTTAACAGTGTGGGGCTCCACCCCAGGTGGGCGTTCCATTATCTGGCTGGTGGTCAGCACCTATAGCTCTGGTGATGTCTCTGCTGGGAGAGCACTCCTCGAGCAGCTCTGACAGTGGCTCTTGCCCTTGGGGGTACATTAGAGTTCCCCAGGAAGCTTTTAAAAATACTGATACCTGGCTCACCCTTAGAGATTCTGGTTTGTTCTGGGGAGAGGTCTGGGCATTGGTAATTGTTAAAAGCTCCCCAGCTGATTCTACTGTGCAGACAGATTTAAGAATCATTGATCTATGAGAACAACAGTGAAGATGGAGAAGAGGAACAATTATAGATAAAGGGGAGTATAAAACCATTTCACAAGTCACTGATAAGGCATAATAATAATTATTACTTTTTGAGACAGTCTCACTCTGTTGCCCAGGCTGGAGGGCAGTGGCACAAACTTGGCTCACTGCAATCTCTGCTTTCCAGGTTCAAGCAATTCTCCTGCCTCAGACTCCTGAGTAGCTGGGATTACAGGCGCATGCCACCATGCCCAGCTAATTTTTGCATTTTTAGTAGAGACAGGGTTTTGTCATGTTGGGCAGCCTGGTCTTGAACTCCTGACCTCAGGTGACCCACCCACCTTGGCCTCCCAAAGTCCTGGGATAATAGGCATGAGCCACTGCACTTGGCTGAGGCATAATTTTTTTTTTTTTGAGACCGAGTCTTGCTCTGTTGCCCAGGCTGGGGTGCAATGGCGTGATCTTGGCTCACTGCATCCTCCACCTCCTGGGTTCAAGCAATTCTCCTGCCTCAGCCTCCCAAGCAGCTGGGATTACAGGTGCACACAACCACTCCCAATTAATTTCTGTATTTTTAGTAGAGACAGCATTTCACCATGATGGCCAAGCTGGTATCGAACTCCCGACCTCAGGTGATCCACTCGCCTTGGCCTCCCAAAAATGAACCTCCCTAGAGTCTTCCACTTACAAACATTTACACTGAAATTAGTTTATCATTTTTTGTGGAAATACCTGATAATTAAATTTGAAAGGATTTCAAAAAATAGGAGATAGACTTTGACATCAAGGAAGCATTATGAGCCCAGGTGTGGTGGCCCACACCTGTAACCCCAGTACTTTGGGAGGTTGAGGTGGATGGATTACTTGAGCCCAGGAGTTTGAAGCCAGCCTGAACAACATGGTGAAATCACATCTCTACTAAAAATACAAAAAATTAGCCGGGCGTGGTAGCGCATGCCTGTGGTCCCAGCTACTCACAAGGCTACGGTGAGAGGATCACTTGAGCCCAGGAGGCAGAGGTTGTAGTGAGCCAAGATTGAACCACAGCACTCCAGCCTGAGTGACAGCGTGAGATCCTGTCTCAAAAACATTAACAAAAACAAAACCGACTTTTGCTCTTAAAAGTATATACTGCAGGCCAGGTGCAGTGGCTCATGCCTATAATCCTAGCATTTGGGAGGCCAAGGCAGGTGGATCAGCTGAGGTCAGGAGTTCAAGACCTGCCTGGCCAACATGGTGAAACCCCATCTCTACTAAAAATACAAAAATTAGCCAGGTGTGGTGGCATGCACCTATAGTCCCAGCTACTTGGGAGCCTGGGGCAGGAGAATCACTGGAAACCCGGGAGGTAGAGGTTGCAGTGAGCCGAGATCATGTCACTGTACTCCAGTCTGGGTGACAGAGCAAGACTCTGTCTCAAAAAAAAAAAAAAAAGAGGATCCACTGCATAAAATAGAAATCCATGAGTCTAAACTAATGTGTGTGTGTGTGTGTGTGTGTGTGTGTATACAGATATATAACTGAGTAAATAAATGGGGGAGAAGGAAATCTCTTCCTGACAGCAATATGCCAACTATAATAAATGTAGAAGGATGATCAAAAAATCACCATTTGTCAATCATCATGGTGGTAGCTGACTCAGGCAACAGCTGTCAATGGATGCTAAGCCCGGTAGGTGGAGGTCTGACACGAACTGATATGAACAGGATATTGGCATAATCTCAGAATCCATCTCTCCTGATAGGGCACTGGCCCGTTATAAAGGGAGAAAACAGGGTCTCTGTGCTAGAGACGCTTGGAGGACACCAACATAACTGGGTGACCAGGGTTATCACCACCAGAAGTGAGACAGGACAGCTATACATCTTCTGATGTGGTGCACTGCTGAGAGTCCAGCCTAATTTCTGTGGTCTTACTGCCAAAAATGTATGACCTGGTTGTGACGATGGATACACAACTCTGTGAACAGAATTTGGCACTTAACAAGGATGAGTGGCATGGTATGCAAATTGTATCTCAATACAGCGCGTTTACAAAAGTTTCTAACCTGAGTCTGATCATAAGACAACAGCCTAGGCTAGGTGTGGTGGCTCACAGTTGTAATCCCAGTACTCTGAGAGGTCAAGATGGGTGGATCACCTGAGGTCAGGAGTTCGAGACCAGCCTGGCTAACAGTGAAATCTTGTTTCTACTAAAAAAATAGAAATTAGCCAGGCGTGGTGGTGGGCGCCTGTAATCTCAGTTACTCGGGAGGCTGAGGCAGGAGAATCGCTTGAACCCGGGAGACAGAGGTTGCAGTGAGCGGAAATTGCACCACTGCACTCCAGCCTGGGTGACATAGTGAGAGTCTGGCTCAAAAAAAAAAAAAAAAAAGAAAGAAAAAGAAAAAGAAAAAGAAAACAGCCTAGGCAACACAGGGAGATCCCACCTCTACCGAAAAATACAAAAATCAACCAGACATGGTGGTGCATGTCAACAGTAGGTTAGGAGGCTATGACAGAAGAATTGCTTGAATCCACAACGTCGAGGCTACAGACAGCTGTGATAGTGTGACTGCACTCCAGCTTGGGTGACACAGCAAGACCCCTTCTTAAAAAAAAAAAAAAAGGAAGAAAAAAGAAAACATTAGCTAAACACAGGTTAAGAATTATCAGAGTGGAAGGCCTGTATTTTTTTTTTTTTTTTTTTGAGACATAGTCTCGCTCTGTCACCCAGGCTAGAGTGCAGTGGCATGATCTCTGCTCACTGCCACCTCCACCTCACGGATTCAAGCGATTCTCCTGCCGCAGCCTGCCGAGTAGCTGGGATTACAGTTGTACACCACCATGCCCAGCTAATTTTTGTATTTTTAGTAGAGACAGGGTTTCACCATGTTGGTCAGGCTGGTCTCGAACAGGTGATCTGCCCACCTCAGCCTCCCAGAGTGGTGGGATTACAGGCGTGAGCCACCACGCCCGGCCAATACTGTTGTATGAATCTAACATTACTTGTGTAGTGGTATAATATTAATGATGGATTATAAGAATCCATTCTGTAATCTCTGTAACTATTACAAATTAATATAAAGGGATTTAGCTTACAAGCCAATAGAGCAGAAAATACTTGACCTAAAAGAAGGCAAGCACAGAGAAACTAAGCCTATAGAGCATATTTCTTTTGGGGAATGTGAACAATGTTAAGAACTAGCAATTAAGCGAACACAAGCAGTTGTCTACTTTGCTTAAATGCAATCCACATTATTTACAAACACAAATTTCTGTCAAAGTCTAAAATGCTGCTGGGTACAGTGGGTCACACCTGTAGTCCCAGCACTTTGGGAGGCCAAGGTGGGAGGACTGCTTGAGGCCAGCAATTCAAGCTCAGCCTGGGTAAGAAAGCGAGATCCTGTCTACCAAAACAACAACAACAAAAAAAAAAAAAAAAAAGGAAAAGGAAATTTGTCAACTCTCTAAAAATCAGAGAACATGAGCATTACTAATCATCATTCAACAAAACTCAGGAGATTCCACCTTGCTGCTTCTCACGCTACTTGGCAACATTTAGATTCGCTACTGGTGGGGCAGTATCTCTGAAAGGAGAGGGAATCTTAGATTAGAGCAGCACAGCCATGAGCCAAATGCAGTCTGATCCTTACCTGCCCTGCTCCAAAAGGACAATATCCTTCCACCCCATTTTGGAGAGGTGATAGGCCACAGATGTGCCCATGATTCCACCTCCACAGATGACCACCTGTGCCTGGGTGGGCAGGGCCATGGAACGTGCCTCTGCAGCTGACGCGCTGTTTCTTGCAGAGGACCAGTTCTGCCATCCTGGGCTGGCTCTTTGTCTTCCAACAATTGACAGCAACCGGTAGAACATCACGTCTCTCACCAACTAGATCTCAGGAATTTAAACTAGACAGAGAAACCAAACATATTTCATGCCATTCAACTCAGTGCATGGGATTAATGAGAAAGGGATTTGACAAAGAACAAATCATTCAGCAAATATTTGAGGGCAGCCACGCGTGGTGGCTCACGCCTGTAATCCCAGCACTCTGGGAGGCCAAGGTGGGCGGATCACGAGGTCAGGAGATCCAGACCATCCCGGCTAACACGGTAAAGCCCCGTCTCTACTAAAAATACAAAATTAGCCGGGTGTGGTGGCAGGCGCCTGTAGTTCCAGCTACTCGGGAGGCTGAGGCAGGAGAATGGCGTGAACCCGGGAGGTGGAGCTTGCAGTGAGCCGAGACTGTTCTGCTGCACTTCAGCCTGGGCCACAGAGCAAGACTCTGTCTCAAAAAAAAAAAAAAATTTGAGGGCATACTGAGTTTCAGACATTCTGCTAGCAGTGGACAAGAATGGGGAAGTCTATCTTTATGAAATTTACATTTGAGAGTTTGCGTGTGTGAATGAGGAGAGCACCAATCAATATACAAATAAATATACAAATAAAACAAGTAAACAAAGCTAACGTGATAGAGTAACTAGGGGCATATTTAAAATAGGATGGTCAGAAATAGCCTCCAAGGAAGTGACACTTGGAAACAGACCTGAAGGATAAGGAACGAACTACACATTTGGCAGACACTGAGACGAGCATGTGCAAAAGCCCTGAGGTAAGACAGACCAAGAACAAAAAGGAGGCCTGCACGCACACAACATGGGGAGTGTGGGGAGACGATCTAAGACAACGCTGCAGAGGCAGGCGGAAGCCAGTGACACACAGCCTTGGGTGCCATCAGCAGGAGTTGGAATTTTATTCAAAGTACAAAGGAAAATCACTAACGCAGGGAAATCCCTAGCAGGGGAAAGAAATGATCTGGGATGTTTTTCTTTTCTTTGCTTTTTTTGGCGCGGGGGGCGGGGGGCTGTTTTTCAAAGGTAGGTCTGGCTCCACTGTGGAGAGCGCATGGTAGAATTAAGAAGAACAGAGTCGACTTCCTGGGCTCAAGTGATCCTCCCACCTTGGTCTCCCAAAAGTGTTGAGATTACAGGCGTGAACCACCGCCGTTGGCCAAAGCAGGGTTTTAATAAACTTAATCTATCAGCAAAACAGATGACTGTTCAACTTTCAAGAAACTGAAGAAAGAAAGACCTACTGGTTGTCCATGCAGTCATGTGTACAGGAGGATGAGGACTTTGAGATGAGAGGCGGTAGACAAGGGGGCCTCAGGGCAGCTCACTGCTAGTCACCTCCTTACCGCCTCCACTGCCAGCCACAGGACCCACAGACACTCCACAGTCAGCCCAAATTGTCCAAGGCCAAGGTATCTATGTCCATCCATCACAGAGGACTCTCACAATTGCAACCAATGCAAGCACAGACTGTGTCCAGGCTGATATACCATCCAACTGGAGACAAATTGTCTTGGCCAGCTTGTGAATGCCACCATGCCTCTCACCCCAGTCCCTATTAAGCACCATCTCAAGACAGAAGCTTCTCTACCCAGCTAGTCTTTCCATAATCTCATCTCCATGTGACCACTGTACTTCCCATGACCCAAGCTCTCTTCACTTTCCTTCCCTTCAAGCCCCTCTACTGCACCGTCTAGAATACCTTCCCCGAAGGCAAGCACCTACCCCTTTGCTGACATTCTCTCTACCCTGTCCCAATGGCAACACAGCTCTCCTGGGGAACTGCCGCTGCCTAATGGCCAGCCCCATCCCACTGACCTCAATGTCAACCTCCTGGCTTCTGACCCGTGACCACTTGGTTATACTTGAAAACTGTCCTGCTCCTTGGTGGCTTAGGCTAGCACATGTTAAGCCACAGGCAGACCTCTGTCTGTATTCAGGTTCAGAGCCCAGCTGCTCTTCTCTCAACTTTCAACTTCACCTCCTTTCTTCCCTCATTCTAAGCAGATAACCTGTCTCACCTCATTCCCTGAAACCCTTCCTATAGACTCACTTGCATCTGCAACCATCTCTTCCTTCTTTTACCCACCGGAAAGTTAATCTCCCCCAAGTGCCCTGGATCCCACTTCCTCCTCTCTTCTCTCGACCCTAGCTCCATCAACTGCTCTGTCTCTTTCATCTACCTGCAACATTTCCCTCCCTTTTTGCTCCTTTTCCTCAGCATTTTTTTTTTTTTTTTGAGACAGAGTCTCGCTGTCGCCCAGTTGGGAGTGCAGTGGTGTGATCTCGCCTCACTGCAACCTCCATGTTCCAGGTTCAAGCAATTCTCCTGCCTTAGCCTCCTGAGCGGCTGGGACTACAGGCGCATGCCACCACGCCCAGCTAATTTTTGTATTTTTAGTAGAGACGGGGTTTCACCATGTTGATCAGGCTGGTCTTGAACTCATGACCTCAGGTGATCCACCCACCTCCACCTCCCAAAGTGCTGGGATTACAAGCGTGAGCCACCACGCCCAGCCTTAATGACTTTCTGATGCCCTCAGGAAAAAGGCAAAACTCTTTTCATATCAAGTGCAAGATCCTTCACAGTCTGGTTCTTATCTGTGGTCTCACTTCTCCTCTCCCCACACTTTGACCAAGCCAGACTGAACAACCTGTAATTCCCCAAACATATCAGGTGAGGCGTGAATGTTCTATTCAGCTCCAGGTTCTGTGCATGCTGACCCCTCCTGGCATGGTTCCTGCCACCCCTTCCACAAATACAAGTAATCTCCTCAGGTCACAGCCTCTTTAACATCTTTTTTTTTTTTTTTTTTGAGATGGAGTCTCGCTCTGTCACCCAGGCTGGAGTGCAGAGGTGTGATCTCAGCTCACTGCAAGCTCCGCCTCCTGGGTTCAAGTAATTCTCCTGCCTCAGCTTCCCAAGTAGCTGGGACTATAGGTGCCCACCACCATGCCCGGCTATTTTTTTCTATTTTTTAGTAGAGGCGGGGTTTCACCGTGTTAGCCAGGATGGTCTTGCTCTCCTGACCTTGTGATCTGCCCGCCTCGGCCTCCCAAAGTGCTGGGATTACAGGCATCAGCCACCATGTCCAGACCCCTCTTTGACATCTTATCTGATACTCACCCCCTCCTTCTCCAAAACTTGGTTAGATGGCTCTTCTATGTTCTCCTATAGCACATTGCACTTCTCCCAGCACAGAACTTACCACACTGCACAATGGTCTGTTTGCCAATCAGAGAAGCAACACGCCAGCACAGCAGGGAATCCAGGCTTTGGGGGCAGACAGGTCTGGGTTTGAAAATATCCCCACCTCTCACTAGCTGTATGACTTTCAGCAAGTTACCAGATCTCTATGCTTTGAGCTCCTCATCTGTAATATGGGCTAGTAACACCTACCTCACGTGGTTACTGCAAAGACTAAATCAGACAAGGCAGGAAGAACATGGTACAAGCACCTAAGAAGCACTCAGTAAATAGTGGTTATTTTTTATTATTTTTTGAGACGAGGTCTGTCACCCACGCTGGAGTACAGCGGCATGATCATGGCTCACTGCAGTCTCAACCACCCAGACTCAAGCAATCCTCCCACCTCAGCCTCCAGAATAGCTGGGACCACAGGTGTGCACCATCACGCTCAGCAGCTAATTTTAAAATTATGAATATTTGTAGAAGAGAGGTCTTACTATGTTGCACAGGATGGCCTTGAGCTCCTGACCTCAAGTGATCTGCCCGCCTTGGTCTCCCAAAGCGGGATTTACAGGTTGGAATTACAGGCTGAGCCACCACACCCGGCCTATTATTTCCTTATTATAATGGAACTAAGAGCAGAAACCTTATAAATTGCTCAATTTTCCTAGCATTCAGCATAGGTATCTAGGAAATACATGTTGATGCATGAATGAGAACAGAGAACAAAGAAGATGGGGGAAAAATCAAGGGTAGGTCCCTAGATTTGAGGAGATATCTAAATACCCGAGAAAATTATTTTTATTTTTATTTATTGTGAGACAGAGTCTCAACTCTGTCACCCAGGCTGAAGTACAGTGGTGTGATCTTGGCTCACTGCAACCTCTGCCTCCCAGGTTCAAGTGTTTCTCCTGCCTCAGGTTCCTGAGTAACTGGGATTACAGGTGCATGCCACTGTGCCCAACTAATTTTTTGTATTTTTAGTAGAGATGGAGTTTCGCCATGTTGGCCAGGCTGGTCTCGAACTCCTGACCTCAGGTGATCCACCCACCTTGGCCACCCAAAGTGCTGGGATTACAGGTGTGAGCCACTATGACTGGCCAAGAATTATTATTATTATTATTATTATTATTTTTTGAGACGGAGTCTCGCTCTGTCGCCCAGGCTGGAGTGCAGTGGCGCGATCTCGGCTCACTGCAAGCTCCGCCTCCCGGGTTCACGCCATTCTCCTGCCTCAGCCTCCCGAGTAGCTGGGACTACAGGCGCCCACAACCGCGCCTGGCTAATTTTTTGTATTTTTAGTAGAGACGGGGTTTCACCATGGTCTCGATCTCCTGACCTTGTGATCCGCCCGCCTCGGCCTCCCAAAGTGCTGGGATTACAGGCGTGAGCCACCGCGCCCGGCCTAAGAATTATTTTTAAAGCTAATATTTTTATAAGTAGTTACAATGCACCAGATACTGCCTATGTATATAACTAACTTAATCCTCACAACCTTATGAGGTAGATATTAGCATTTCTACTCTACACTTGTACAGGTAAGTGAAAGTGACTCACCCAAGGTCCTACCAAATTGTTGAGCAGCAGAACCCTGTCAATTTGGCACTAGTGGCCTGCTATTTAATCATGACTCCACGCTACCTTTCAAATGAAAGCACATGGTAAGGAAAGGACAGCTGTGAGGACTGAACTATTAGGCACATCCCCCTAACAGGAAAAAGGGAACTGCAAAGGTGGCAGAACAAACACAGTTAACAGATGAGTTTTAAGGTGGAATTTAAAAAAACTTCAGGCTGGGCACGGTGTCTCACACCTGTAATCCCAGCACTTTGGGAGGCCGAGGCGGGTGAATCATTTGAGGTTGGAAGTTGGAGACCAGCCTGGCAAACATGGTGAAACCCCGTCTCTACCAAAAAAACAAAAAAATAGCTGGGTGTGGTGGCGGGTGCCTGTGGTCCCAGGTACTCATGGTGCGGCCACCATTGCATCTTGGGCCAAACTATCCAGTTCCCTTTTGTTGGATTCAATACTGTCTCACCACATAAGCCAATCTCGTGTTTTATTAATTTTTAAAATATTTTTGTTTTGTGGAGATAGGCTCACTATGTTGCCCAGGCTGGTCCTGAACTCCTGAGGTAGGAGGATCGCCTGAGCCTGGGAGACAGAGGTTGCAGTGAGCCGAGATTATGCTACTGCACTCATGCCTGGGTGACAGAGTGAGACTCTGTCTTAAAACAAAAAAAGGGCCGGGCGCGGTGGCTCAAGCCTGTAATCCCAGCACTTTGGGAGGCCGAGGCGGGTGGATCACGAGGTCAGGAGATCGAGACTATCCTGGCTAACATGGTGAAACTCCGTCTCTACTAAAAAAAAATACAAAAAACTAGCTGGGCGTGGTGGCGGGCGCCTGTAGTCCCAGCTACTTGGGAGGCTGAGGCGGGAGAATGGCGGGAACCCGGGAGGCGGAGCTTGCAGTGAGCCCAGATCACGCCACTGCACTCCAGCCTGGGAGACACAGCGAGACTCCATCTCAAAAAAAAAAAAACAAAAAAAAACAAAAAAAAAACAAAAAAACAAAAAAACAAAAAAAGGCCAGGCGCAGTGGCTCACGCCTGTAATCCCACCACTTTGGGAGGCCAAGGCAGGTGGATCACTTGAGGTCAGGAGTTCGAGACCAGCCTGATCAGCATGGTGAACCCCATCTCTAACTAAAAACACAAAAATTAGCTGAGTGTCGTGGCTTGCACCTGTAGTCCCAGCTACTCAGGAGGCTGAGACAGGAGCATTGCTTCAACCAGGGATGTGGAGGCTGCAGTGGGCACAGTCGCACCACTGCACTCCAGCCTGGGCAACACAGTGAGACTTCTTCTCAATAAAAGCCCAGGGAGCTTGGTGCCAAAAAAGGGATTTCTGACCTTGTGTTCATTATGACCTTCAAAAGAGTGAAGTGGTGAGGGCATGAGGGCAGAGGAAAAGGGCTTAAGACAAGGAAGAAAAGGAAGGCACCAGAGTCTAGCACTTTTGCTGTCAAACCTAAGCCTATAGGGTTGGCGAAAAACCAAAGCAAAGCTTGATAGCAAAGGAGGTAAAGCCACGGGAGAAGAAACTGAAGACGTCGGCCGGGCGCGGTGGCTCAAGCCTGTAATCCCAGCACTTTGGGAGGCCGAGACGGGCGGATCACGAGGTCAGGAGATCGAGACCATTCTAGCTAACCCGGTGAAACCCCGTCTCTACTAAAAAATACAAAAAACTAGCCGGGCGAGGTGGCGGGCGCCTGTAGTCCCAGCTACTCGGGAGGCTGAGGCAGGAGAATGGCGTAAACCCGGGAGGCGGAGCTTGCAGTGAGCTGAGATCCGGCCACTGCACTCCAGCTTGGGCGACAGAGCGAGACTCCGTCTCAAAAAAAAAAAAAAAAAAAAAAAAGAGAAACTGAAGACGTCAAAGACAGAAATGAAGCACATCATCTGGTTTAAAACAAATCATAGGCCGGGCGCGGTGGCTCAAGCCTGTAATCTCAGCACTTTGGGAGGCCGAGACGGGCGGATCACGAGGTCAGGAGATCGAGACCATCCTGGCTAACACGGTGAAACACCGTCTCTACTAAAAAATACAAAAAACTAGTGGAGCGAGGTGGCGGGCGCCTGTAGTCCCAGCTACTCGGGAGGCTGAGGCAGGAGAATCGCGTAAACCCGGGAGGCGGAACTTGCAGTGAGCCGAGATCCCGCCACTGCACTCCAGACCGGGCTACAGAGCGAGACTCTGTCTCAAAAAAAAAAAAAAAAAAAAAAAAGAAAAAAAAATCATATATTTTTTAAGGTTCTGGAAAATGACCGTATAATATTCTCTGCTAAAAAGAATAACTTCTGCTAAACAACCGTAAGACTGCGGCTGGCTCTACTGAGATCTGCTTATTCCAACAAGACCAAGGTGCTAGTTCTAACTTCGAGGTGTCCCTCTGTATGGCTTCGGCGTTGCACACAGTGGACCGCCGGTCACAAGGAAGACTGGATGAGCATGGGTGGGTTCACACAACATTTTCCACACTTGCCTCAGCAAAAGAACCACCTGGGACACTTGTTTAAAAACGACAGATTCCCAGGGTCCACCTCTGCAGAGTCTGATCCTGCCACTCCAGGGAGCTATATTTTTCAACAAGTACACCAGGTGATCACGCGAGTTTAAGAAATGAACACAAGTTGGCCGGGCGCGGTGGCTCATGTTTGTAATCCCAGCACTTTGGGAGGCTGAGGCGGGCGAATCACGAGGTCAGGAGTTCGAGACCAGCCTGGCCAACATAGTGAAACCCCGTCTCTACTAAAAATACAAACATTAGCCGGACGAGGTGGCGCGCACCTGTAATTCCAGCTACTTGGGAGGCTGAGGCAGGAGAATTGCTTGAATCCAGGAGGCGGAGGTTGCAGTGAGCCGAGATCGCGCCACTGCACTCCAGCCTGGGCGAAAGAGACTCCGTCTCAGAAAAAAATAAAAAAGAAATTAACACAAGTCCCTGTCACTGGAAAAGCATACCCGTCGGGTTGGCTCCTCCTCCACCACCAGCCCCCAACCCCGTACATCATGTTTATATGCATGCGAGACACTGGCTTGGAGATTCTTGTTTCAAATCCGAGGTATCACACATCGGCCCCCAAAGGTCAAACATTAAGAAGGAAGCTCACTGCCCTGGTCCAGGCTTTTCTAGGTGACTTCTTCCTCAGGACTCTGCAGCAGTCTTACTAATTATAAAGCACAAGCGGACCGCACGTCTCAACGCGGGAAAACAGTTCCACCTGCAGGGATGCGACCGGGCTAGGCGAGCTGGAGTAGGCTCTGCGCCGCAGGGGTGTGCAAGCCCGAGAGGGGGGAGCCCGAGGTCACCCCGCCCGCCCTGGCATCGGGGCTGAGGTGCAGGCGCCTGGAGGAGCGGTGCGCAGGCCCAGAGGTAGCCGAGGACACGAGCGGACAACATTCCGGGGACCAAGTACTGGCGCCTGGACGCGCCTTCGCGAGGCCAGGCGGAAACGACTGGAAGCGGGGGCTTGCGGAGACCACCCCCGGGCGAAACCAAAGGAGAAAGAGGGGAACCCAGGGGTCCCGGGGCGCTCAGGCCCGCGCGGAAGGGGAGGCCAGAGTGGCCCCGCAGCTATCTCCTTACCTCACGGGCCCCCACGGGCTCCGCGCTCACCTACAACCCGGAGGGAGCAATGCGGCTGTCACAACGGCTGCCGGGGGTCGCCGCGGGCCGGAAAGCGGGGTTCGGGGATGGAAAGGGGGCGGGGCGAAGAGAGCAAAAAGTTCCGGGGAAGCCGAGACCGCGACCTTCCGCGCTTTACGGCCCCTGGGCAAGGGTACGGCTGGCGCGTGACCTCAGCCGCGCACGAGCACGCCGTGACGCCCTCGCGGAGCCCCGCCCCTGCCACGTGAGCTTGTTTGGGTCTCTGGAGGCACAGCCCCCAGGGCCTCTTTGCCAGCCTCAGAGGCGAGCTATGGAAACTTTGACTCCTAGGGCCGTTTTGGAACCCGGGCCTTGGACCGGCGGGGTTTCTGCACGTGGAACCGGAACTTCTGAGATGATCGCAGATCCTGTGGAGGGTGGGGAGCGCGGGAGTTCTTTCTTCCCTCGAGGCCTGTGCCAGGGCTTACTCCAAATCCAGTGGGTCCCCAGTCCTAAGCCACAAGCAGCCTCGGAGAAAAACGCTTCTCACCCCCGTGGGAGCACGGCTCTTGGAAGTGGCTCCGGGCTTTCTTGGGCGAGGCTCTCACAGAGCAGATCGGAAATCCATTCTGCTGTCCCGCCCCACTTCGGAGGACGGACTAACGGACCTGAGTTCCCGGCCCTATCTTACTCCTCGCAGCTTCTCAGCTTGGCTCAGCTCAGAGAGCTGTCAGCCCTGACTTAGAGAACAATCTTTTTTTTTTTTGAGAAAGAGTCTCAGTCTGTCGCCCAGGCTGGAGTGCAGTGGTGCGATCTTGGCTCACTGCAACCTCCACCTCCCGGGTTCAACTGATTCTCCTGCCTCAGCCTCCTGAGTAGCTGGGATGCACCACCACGCCCGGCTAATTTTTGTATGTTTAGTAGAGACTGGGTTTCACCATATTGGTCAGGCTGGTCTCGAACTCCTAACCTTGTGATCTGCCCGCCTCGGCTTCTCAAAGTGTTGGGATTACAGGCGTGACCCACCGCACCCGGCCTGAGAACAATCTCTTATTGATTTTCCTGCTTCTCATGTCCTCCTGTCCTCCCTCTGCAGTTGTCTTTGTAAAATATGGGAGGTCACTTTACTCACTGCCTTGAAACCTTTGAGGGACTCCCCTTTGTCATGAGACAAAGCTCCAAGTCCTTAGCCTGGCCAGCCAGGGTCTCCAGGGTGTGCCAGGCTGCACTGCCCCAGGGCTCCGGCCCATGCTGCGTGTGATGCGGGGCCTGCAGCTGGGTGCATGCTCCCCGTCCACAGCTGGATTTCACCTCGAATCCTGCTCTCCAGTCACACTGAGAGGTTTCCCACTCCCATCTTTTGCTTACTAAAATGCCTCCTGGCAGCCGTCCCCTGTGCTTGTGGAAAGTCACAAGGATTGAGGATCACATGAACCCCCACTCCCCCAATTGGTCCTGACAGAGCCCTCCTGTCTTTCAAAAGCCCAGCCCAAGACCACCAACATACTGCAGCGGAGCCTTTCTTTCCAAGAGAATGGCCCCTTCTGGGGTCCCCACACGCCTGTTTCTGATATGTCTTTATTTGGTTCTCTGCCCTGCTGGTTCTATAAATCCCTCTGAGGACTCGAAACTCCAACACCTCACATTGTGCCTGGTGTTTAACAGATGATTAAATGAATGGGGAAAAGTGGAGAGCAAAATCTTTAAAATGTGCTTTAAAATTTAAAGATTTTGGGCCAGGCACTGTGGCTCACACCTGTAATCCCAACCCTTTGGGAGGCCGAGGCCGGTGGATCACCTGAGGTCAGGAGTTCGAGACCAGCCTGGCCTACATGACAAAACCCCTTCTCTACTAAAAATGCAAAAGTTAGCCAGGTGTGGTGGTACATGCCTGCAGGCCCAGCTACTGGGGACGTTAAAGCAGGAGAACCGCTTAAGCCCAGGAGGCAGAGATTGCAGTGAGCCAAGATCGCGCCACTGCACTCCAGCCTGGGCGACAGAGTTAGACTCCGTCTCAAAAAAAAAAAAAAAGGAAGAATTTTTAATGTTTTGAAATGTTTAGGCCAGGTGTGGTGGCTCACACCTGTAAACCCAGCACATTGGGATGCCAAGGTGGGTAGATCATCTGAGGTCAGAAGTTCAAGACCAGCCTGGCCAATATGGTGAAACCCCGTCTCTACTAAAAATACAAAAATCAGTCCGGCATGGTGACGTGTGCCTGTAATCTCAGCTGCTCAGGAGGCTGAGGCCGGAGAATCGCTTGAACCTGGGAGGCGGAGGTTGCAGTGAGCCAAGATCGCGCTACTGCACTCCAGCCTGGGCAACAGAGTGAGACTCCATCCCAAAAATAAACATAAAAATAAAAAATTTAAATGATTGTTTGCCAACTTTACAATAGGACGATGTAGTTGCTCACCTATCAGATACGATTCCTTTACTGCCTTGGTCCACATTCCCGGGCCAGTAGGTGGCGCTGTAGCGCATGATTTGAGCGTCCTGGGTTCACACAGGCTCTCGTGCGGAGAGACCCATTAGCAACCGAGTAAGGCTACGCAAGTCTCCCTCCCAAGGCTGATCACCTAGCGTGGCCTCAGTGGCACAGGGGGACTGAGACTGAGGCTCCTTTGGTGCAGCCTCGAGAACAGCGACGTGCCTTTTTCCTCCATTCTCTCTTCTTGGTGTATGACCTTGGGAGGTTACCTTTCCTAGGCCTATTAGGTCCTCCTGAGAAACAGAACCAATAGGAGATGTAATATGTGGGTGTAATTAGTAGATGTAATTAGTCTCTCTCTATATAGAGAGACTAATCTTAAGGAATTGACTCACATGATTGTGGAGACCGGCAAGTCTGAAATTTGCAGGGCAGGCTGGAAACTCAGGGAAGAATTGATGTTGCTGTCCGTCTTGAGTTGAAGGCAGTCTGGAAGCCAAAATCCTTCTTCCTGGAGGAACTTTAGTCTTTTCTCTTAAGGTCTTCAACTGATTGGGTGAGGCCCACCCATATTATGGAGGGCTTTACTGCTTTACTCAAAGTCTACTGACTTAAATGTTAATCACATCCAAAAAGTATCTTCACAACAATATCTAGGCTGATGTTTGCCAAACAGCTCAGCACCAAAGCCTACTGAAGTTGACACATAAAATTAGCCAGCACAGCATCCACTTGCTTGCTTGTAAAATGGGCAGTGACAAAAACCTTTTTTTTTTTTTTTTTTTGAGATGGAGTCTTACTCTGTCGCCCAGGCTGGAGTGTAGTGGTGTGATCTCGGCTCACTGCAAGCTCCACCTCCCAGGTTCATGCCATTCTCCTGCCTCAGCCTCCTGAGTAGCTGGGGCTAGAGGCACCCGCCACCACACCCGGCTAATTTTTTGTATTTTCAGTAGAGACGGGGTTTCACCCTGTTAGCCAGGATGGTCTTGCTCTCCTGACCTCATGATCTGCCCACCTTGGCCTCCCAAAGTGCTGGGATTACAGGCGTGAGCCACCGTGCCCGGCCAACATACCTTTTTTGGAGACTCAACTCTGCATATAAAATACATGGCCAGTTGTAAAAATCTTCCCATACATGACAGCTGTTTTTTTGTTTTTTTTTTGAGATGAAGTCTCCCTCGTCACCCAGGCTGGAGTGCAATGGTGCAATCTCGGTTCACTGCAACCTATGCCTCCCGGGTTCAAGTGGTACTCCTGCCTCAGCCTCCCAAGTAGCTGGGATTATGGGTGCCTGCCACCACACTCGGCTGATTTTTTTTATTTTTAGTAGAGATGGAGTTTCACTATGTTGGCCAGGCTGATCTCGAACTCCCAGCCTCAGGTGATCCATCCATCTTGGTCTCCGAAAGTGCTGGGATTACAGGTGTGAGCCACTGCACCCAGCCTACTTTTCTTATTACTCTCGCAAGACGAACCGCATGGCCTAGCCCCTTGGGTTTCTAGGTTGTGGCAGATGACTGGAGATGAGCAAAATGAAATGACCCTAGAAGGCCCAGAGACATTCAGCTCGAGAAGCAGATAACCCAGGTCCAGGTGTGTTGGTCAGCTGCTTGTGATGAAAGCTGGGCTGGAGTCCACAAGTGCCACTGGCACCGACGTCTTCTAACCAAGCTCCTTGTGTCTGTTTACTAACTATGTGGGCTTAGTGTAGACCTCCTCTAGGATGCAGCCTGGGAGTTGGTGCAATGGTCTAATTGCAGGGAGCTATCTTTGCATGCCCAGGACATGCCCCTGTGTGCATATCCTATATGAGTAGCTCTCCTCCTGGCCCCTGGGGATCTTGGCTAGCATGGGCCTTATGCTTTCCAGCATCTTCCAGGCCCTGCATGTAGCTGGAAGTTTGTGCTTCATTTCCTTCTCAGACCGGCTGGCCCACTCTGCTGCTGTGCTCCAGAACATCTCCAATGGGTGACCAGTTTGAACACCCAACCTCTGCACCTATCGTCTGGCTTAGAACCTTTCAGCAGCCTCACAGGAAAGCTTTGTGCCCAGTCTTCCCCAGCCCATCTGCACAGGGACCAACTGCTGCCAGCCTTGCAGAGCAAAGGTGGTCAGGATGGTTGGCCACAGAAAAGGGTGCAGACATGGGAAAGGCTGGCTACAGTCTCATCCAAACAGAGAGGAGAGCCCATACTTGTGACACATTCCACATTCTCCTTTACCTGGCAGCTTTTTTTTTTTTTTTTTTGAAACAGGGACTCACTCTATCTCCCAGGCTGGAGTGCAGTGACACAATCACAGCTCACTGCAGCCTCGACTCCTGGGTAGAGCGACCCTCCTGTTGACAGCTATTGTGAAGCCTTGGTTCTCGTCTTCTTGGTTTAAAAGAATTTAAACAAGAGACACACAGCAAAAGAAGTGCAGCATAGAGTCATTTATTGTAAAGAAAAAATACTATTTTGAAAAGTATAGGCTGGGCGCGGTGGCTCACACCTGTAATCCCAGCACTTTGGGAGGCCGAGGCGGGCGGATCACAAGGTCAGGAGTTTGAGACCCACCTGGCCAATATGGTGAAACCCCATCTCTACTAAAAATACAAAAATTAGCCGGGCATGGTGGCAAGCGCCTGTAGTCCCAGCTACTTGGGAGGCTGAGGCAGGAGTATCGCTTGAACCCAGGAGGCGGAGGTTGCAGTGAGCTGAGATCGCACCACTGCACTCCAGCCTGGCCAACAGAGCAAGACTCCATCTCA